CAGATTCCGAACGACCGCCTGCACAAAGAGGGAGGCAAGGGAGATACAAGACTCCATATCTCCTTTGCTCCTCTGGTCGCTCAAGTCCTTCTCATGAAGCTTGAAGGTGTGGGTCTTGGGGTTGCCAGAGCCGTCGATGCCCTCCACCATGACCCTCCGCTTGTTGGAAGGTCCATGCTCCTCCAAGAACTTAGACAGCAGGTCGGAGCCTTCGCCGAAGTTGACGCCATGCTCGATGTAGCGTGAGCGGAGCACATTGCAGGTGTTCTCAATCAGCTGGGCGACTCTGGTGATGTCCACCTGCGATGTAGCCACTACAATGAAATTAGCGCTGTTATGCGTTCAGGCAGGAGGAGGAAACTATTTATATTGATGAACAAGCATGCACGCTTACAGCTCGACGCTGAAACTTTCTGTTGAGGGCATTAAGCTCTGCAAGGACGTCAGCTAGGAAAAAGAGAAGGAAGTGGAACTTGAAGCTGATGACGACATGGTACATGTCATCATCAAATTCATACAGCAGCAAGACTGCAGCGGGGAGAACTTCAACGAGCCGCGAGATGGCTTCCCCGCGGGAGAGCCATCGGATATCCTTTATACCCTGCATTTCCAGGGTCGTATCGTTGATGAACTTCTGGAGCTCGCTGAAACGCTTGTGTACGACGATGCTCCGCCCAAGGATGTCAGCCAGACTCCTGACCACCTTGTCCACGATGTCAAGGTCAACGTACTCGGTGGCTGCATCCTTCGCAGCCAACGCCTCTCTGCAAGCTACAAACGAAAACATTAGTTCTTCAATGTTTGGTTACATGCACTTGGCTCATATTTACACGAACATCGCAACACCAAGTACAAGTTCATTACACGGCACCAACCAAAACTGACCTGTGCGCGATGCAGTGGCATGCGACGAGGTGCGGAACTTTGGCTCGGAGCTGCGCCACGAGGCCCCGGTTCACGCCGGTCATGACGCTGGCGCCGTCAGTGCTGATGCCGCTGATCTTGTTCAGATCCAGCCCGGTAGATTCCAGGTGTGTCAGTAGTGTTGATAGAAGAGAGCTGGCATCACACTTCTCAACTGTGAGGTGAGCGTAGAACTCAGTCACGACCTTGGCGTTCTTCAAGAATGTCAGATAGACAATCATGTGTTTCCCACGCCGCCTGTCGGTGCTCTCATCCAGCTGAATGCCCACGAATGGAGATGCGTCAATGTGTTTCTTCTGCTGGGCGCGGAGGTAGACGACTAGTGCTTCAGTGATCTGCTTGAAGCCGTACCTGCAGAAGCAAAATAACAGAGAGAGACTTAGTCAGAACGGTAGTCCTTGAGTATCTACTGCGAAGAAACGACAGACAGACTTACTCAGAATGGTACGTGCCGAAGGCTTTCTCAGGGATGTGTGGAGTCCGTAAGTCGACGAGAAGACGAAGAAGAGAAACAAACATGCCAATGGGGGCGTCAGACTTGCAAATCCACAAAACGATGAGCAACAACTGCCTGAGGCGGTTGTCGAGGGACTCAAGGGACTCCTCGAACTCTGTGATGCTCGGCTGCGACGTGACCTTGCCATCCAGCTGCTGCTGTCTCTCCTCTGCGGCCTCGTGCTTCTTGCTTTGAGAATGCTTCACCATTGTTTGCTTCTGGATATCCACTCCGCCGTTGCCGAGTTTTCCGTACTGCCAGGTGGGAGGTGCGTGAGCCATGCAAAGTCGACATTTCATGCACGGACGTCCGTCGGGGCGCTGATCGATGATGAGCCATGGGAACTTTCGGACCCACTGCTCCTCAGCCTTGCTTTTTAGCTCAGCTAGAAGCGCGTCAGGGTCAGGGATGAGACGGCAGCAAAGACGGGACTTCGGATTCGGGACCGGCCGGTCAGCAGAAGAACCAGCTTCGGGATGTTCTGCCGACGAAGGTGGTTCGTCAGTGGAGGCGCGAGCCTCGATACGGATGTGAGGAACACGGGTGCGTGCAAAGCGTATCGTGCTTTGTGTGAACTGTCGAATGGACCGTGGCTTCGGCAGCTGTTGTACAGCGTCGACGGACAGCAGAGGGGACCGCCTAGCTGATACAGCGGTAGGAGAGCGAGGAGACGTTGGGGGAGTGGATGCGAGTAACGGGTCGCTGTTAACTTCAGGGAGTATCTCGCTAAATGGCGGCGCTACTGCGGGTGATGGGACTGCAGGCACGTGATTTGCCTCTGGATTTGGGCAGGTCTGGTGAGCTAGACGCAGGAAATCAAGCCCACTTACGGGGGGCATACCAGCCGCGGGAGGAACTACAGATGCGGCGCCGCCATCTCTAACGGCGCCAGCATCCATGTCGAAGTGGTGTGAGACGGGCTATGGAGCAGGTAGAAAACGGACAAGTAATCACCGTGTGTCGTCAACATAGTGAGGGGAAGGAGTGAGCGTCGCAACGAGGACAGGAGAAGAACCTGGGCGTGGTCCTTCATTCACAGATCCTCAGGGCACGCATGCGTCTCCAGCGGCACGGGGAGCATCCATCCATCGTCCAAAGCTGGCGAAGGTTCTCGTCTCCTGCACGAAGCGGGCACTTGGCGACAAGCCAATAGGCGAGGGGTACTATGCTGTTGATAAGACAAGCCAATCAGATGTGGAGCTGCAGCTGCAGCATGCATTGCAACACACGACCCAGCGCGCGCACGCCCCTTAGCTGGCAACGGCGATGGTATCCTTGTGCGCTGTCACAAGACAAGCCAATGAGATTCACATGCATGTGCCATCACATGCTGCCGCAGCTGATTGTGGGCAGCATTTGAGTCACACCCTGCCTTGCTAATGCCTCGCTGCGAGTGACGCGTCATGTAAAGCTGCCAGAATAGTACGTTCACGTTTTGGGTGGGCGGCCACAACGCGGGCCGCGTGGTATACGCGGTCTGTATAAGGGGGCTGTATACAGCCCTATAGATATTGGTTTCAGACGGATGGATTCGCTAAGTCTAAAAACTCAGAAGAACGAATACACCCATTCTGTTTTTCCAGACGAATACAAAATCACTTTCTAGGACATCAGAAAGTCTGAAAACAGGTTTCTAAAAAATCAGATGAAGGCCAAAAAAAGGTTCTGAAAATCAGACAAACAGACAGATTTTGTCTGCAATCGAGGACCCTGCATCCATGTCGGCACACATGGCTGGGCTGCAAGCTGTTAGAGGCATGCAGCCCACATCACATGATCACCACCATGAACCTCCACACCCACCACCCTCTTGGCTGGGCTCAAGCACCCCCTCACATGGCATACCATGGGATGGCGCACCATGGGATGATATAGCATGGGATGATATAGGATGGGATGATACAGCATGGGATGCTGCACCATGGGATGATATAGCATGGGATGATATAGCACGGGATGACATAGCATGGGATGATGCAGCATGGGATGATGCAGCATGGGATGATATAGCATGGGATGATACAGCATGGGATGATATAGCATGGGATGATACAGCACGGGATGATGCACCATGGGATGATATAGCATGGGATGATATAGCGTGGGATGATATAGCATGGGATGATGCAGCATGGCATGATGTAGCATGGGATGATGTAGCATGGGATGATGCACCATGGGATGATACAGCATGGGACGATATAGCATGGGATGATGCACCATGGCTCACAACCGTCAGCAGCATCACCGCCACTACCAGCACCAGCATCAGTGAAAACTGGTGATGGTGGTGGCAATGGTAGCCAGTGGGGTTGGCACTTGTGGCAATGATGACGGTGGGATGCGATGAGGGGCAATGAAGGTGAAAAGTAGTCGTGGTGGTGGTGTGGTGTGACAGAAGGAGGGTGGAACCCCCCCTGGGTACGGCTTCCCCTTCCCTCTACCACGGCACGGCACAACTGGCAGAGGGGCAAGGGCTGTGGCACCAGGTATCAGGTGAGGAGTGGTGATGGTGGTGGTGCTGGTGGGGAGCGGTGATGAGCGGTCAAGATGAAAGGTTGAGTTGGTAGCGTGATCTGGCAGAGGGAGGGTGAGAACCCCCCTAGGTAAGCTGAGACTCAGGCAGGGGAAGGAGGTTGAGGAGGCACCAGAGCAAGGCAATTGAGAGGCAAGAGAGGGGGGTTGAAACCCCCAGGTTAAGGCGAGCCTAGGGCAGAGGAGGGGGATTCCCCAGCCCCATGCTCGCATTAACCTGAGGGCTTCAACCCCCCTCCCCCCCCCTGCCCCTCGCATGCCCTAACCGGGGTTCTCCCAACCCCCTTCCTCTGCATCGGCCTCAACATACCCAGGGGGTCCTCACCATCCCTCTGCCACATCCCACCACCACCACAACCCGCAGCTTCACTGCCCATCACCTCTTCCCTCTAGCACCACCACCACCCCACCTCGCCAGGGCCACTTCTCACCACCAGCACCACCACCATCAGCACCCCCATCACCACAACTTCTCACCACCACACCCCACTGCCACCAACCACCACTTCTCACCACCACACCTCACTGCCACCACCATCCCTTCTCACCACCACACCTCACTGCCACCACCACCCCTTCTCACCGCCACACCCCACTGCCACCACCACCCCTTCTCACCGCCACACCCCACTGCCACCACCACCCCTTCTCACCACCACACCCCACTGCCACCACCACCCCTTCTCACCACCACCACCAGCACCACCACCACCACATCCAACCCACCTCACCCGCCAGCAGCAGGAGTGGCATGCAGTACAGACCCCTCAGGAGCAGCACCGGCAGTACCCATTGCGTTGAGGTGCCAAGTGAGGCAGGAGGCCAGCACACGGTAAGCCCAAGATCCAATTACCCCTCACCGGCGTGGCAAGAGCTGGCACGAGACAGAACCATTCGGCCGCAATGGTTCTGCCATGGGCCCATTATGCATTAACGCACGGGTATTGCGATTGGACACAGAGTGCTTGACACGTGTACTTGCACTGCCTCACCCAGCCCCCATTGCTTATAGTACTGAAGGTGCTGCCCCCAGAAGCCTGCACCACATGCCATCTTCCACCCTGCCCCACCCACCGCCATCCCCTCCCCCACGCCTTCAGCTTACCTCACTTACCACCGCCATGCACAGCCAGGGGATGTGAAGCTGCTGGGGGAAGGGAGGGGGGTGGGGGGTGTGAGAGACTCTCCTTTGCTCCCTTCTTGCTCCAGTGCACCAAGGGGTGGGAAGCTGCTGGGAGAATTAGGAGCGGGGCGGGGGGAGGATGTGAGGGCGGCGGGGGGGGGGTGTATGAGAAACGCGCCTCCAACCTCGTTCTGCTCCAGTGCACCAAGGGGAAGCTGCTGACCGGGGGAATGAGGAGGGAGGAGAAAGGGGCAAAATGTCACCATACCCACCATACCATGCCTATACCATACCAAACCATACCATGCCATACCTGCACTGCACCTATACCATACCATACCTGTGCCTCGCTCACAGCTAACGCCCTAGCCCGCCCTCTAACTGCCCTCGCCTATGCTGCTGTCCTGCTGCCCTGTCTCTGTAGCTGTTGCTGCTGCTGCTGCTGCTGCTGCTTCCGCTGCTGCCGCTGCTGCTTAGATACAGGCTCTGCTGCAGTCTTGGTTGCTGCTGCCGAGTGACCTGGCAGGAGGGAGGGGGGGTTGGATGAGGGTGGTGAGGAGGAAGGGAGAAGGAAGAAGTGAGTGCAGGGAATGCAGCTTGAACAAGAACACAACCAGAAGATAAACGACAAGGCATTCCAGCACAAGGAAAGGGGCTTACCAGTAAGTGCCGAGCCCACCCCGAAAACTCTCCCTAGTAGCAGAATGCGTTGCAGCTGCTGCTGCTGCAGCTGCACCCCTCTCAGCTACAGGCTCTGTTGCAGTCTTGCTTGCTGCTGCCACGTGGCCTGGCAGGAGGGTGGAGGGGGGGGTGAGGGTGGTGAGGAGGACGGGAGAAGGAAGAAGTGAGCGCAGGGAATTGATCACGAACGGACTAAGACACAACCAGATAATAAACGAAAAGGTATTGCAGAAGGTAAGGGGCTTACCAACAAGTGCCGAGCCCACCCTGAATACTTCCCCTAGTATCAAAATGCGTTGCAGCAGCTGCTGCTTCTGCTGCTGCACCGCTCTCGGCTACAGGCTCTGCTGCAGTCTTGCTTGAAGCTGCCAAGTAACCTGCCACGAGGGGTGGAATGGGGGAGGGGGGGGGGGAGGGGAGGGGGAGGAGGAGGGAGGAGGAAGGGAGAAAGGAGAAGTGAGTGCAGGGAAGAGAGTGCCAACCACGACAGGACCAGGAAGTGAACAAACAGAAATTGCAGCAGAAGGAAAAGGGGCTTACCTATAGGAGCCAAGCCCACCCCAGATACTCTCCCTAGCAGCAAAGTGCATTGCTGCTGCTCCAGCCAGCTGCACCCCTCTCAGCTACAGGCTCTGCTGCAAACTCGCTTGCTGCTGCCAAGTAACCTGCCAGGAAGGGGGGAAAGGGAGGAAAGTGGGGGGTTCGTGAGGGTAGGAAGGGAGAAGGGAGAAGTGAGTGCAGGGAAGAGAGTGCCAACAGAAACAGAAGCAGGAAGTAAAAGAGCGGAATTGCAGCAGAAGAGAAGGGGCTTACCTCTAGGAGTCGAGCCCACCCCAGATACTCTCCCTAGCAGCAAAGTGCGTTGCAGCTGCTCCAACTGCACTGCTCTCAGCAACAGGCTCTGCTGCAGACTCGCTTGCTGCTGCCAAGTAACCTGCCAGGAGGAGGGGGAGGGGGTGCGGAGGGTGGTGAGGAGGAAGGGAGAGAAAGGAGTGAGTGCAGGGAAGAAAGCGCCAACCATAATAGAAGCAGGAAGTGAACAAGCAGATATTGCAGCAGAAGCGAAGGGGCTTACCTATAGGAGCCGAGCCCACCCCAGGTACTCTCCCTAGCAGCAAAGTGCATTTCCGCTGCTCCAACTGCACTGCCCTCAGCTACAGGCTCTGCTACAGTCTTCCTTGCTGCTGCCAAGTGACCTGCCATGACGGGGGGGAGGGGAGTGGGTTTTGGTGGTGGGAGGGGGGGGGGAGAGGGAGAAGTGAGAAGTGAGTGCAGGGACGGGAGTGTCAACTGAAACAGAAGCAGAAAGTGAGCGAGCAGCAGTGGGTCAGGCAAAGTGCCGATTACCTTCAGCGGGTCAGGATTGGGCTTACCATCAAGGGCCGATCACCCCCCAGATACTCTCCCTCATGGCAGCCCTCCTCCTAGCCGTCCCATGTGTGTCCCTGCACGGCCACAGGGGAGGGTCGGGCGGGAATGTCGATGTTGACCCCCACGCCCCTCCCCAGCACCTGCAATGCACACACACGGCAGTGGTCAGTGTGCATGGCATGGCAGCAAGCACAAGCCACGGCCTGGAAACTGCCAAGGCTGGAAGAAAAAGGGAGGGGCCACTGGTGGAGCCACGGCCACAAGCCACTGACCCCAAGGGAACCTGAGGGGGGCTGAACCTGGGGGGGATTACCTGCACCTGAGGGGGTATGTGGCGTGTGAGCCGAGCCCAACCAATGGCATCAATTTGACGGGAAGGGTAGGAGAGCACATGCAAAAAACGAGATGGCAGCAAACACAAGACATGATGGGGCATGAAAGGGTGAGGGCTGGCAGGGGCAGCGACCACTTAGCTGAGAGTCATGGCGTAAGGTCGAGCAGAAGGCGGCAGAAGGCAGCAGAAGCACCAGCATCAGGTGACTCTCCTCCTCTGCAGCCCTCCCCCCAGCCCTCCATGTGCGTCCCTGCACGGCCACAGGGAAGGGCGGGGGAAAACTGTCGGTTTTGACCCCCACGCCCCTCCCCAGCACCTGCAATGCACACACACGGCAGAGGTCAGTGTGCATGGCATGGCAGCAAGCACGAGCCAGGGCATGGACACTGCCAAGGCTGGAAGATAAAGAGAGGGGCCACTGGTGGAGCCACGGCCACAAGCCACAGACCCCAAGGGAACTTGAGGGGTGTCCCTGTAGGTTGTACCTGAGGGGGTTACCTGCATGTGAGGGGAATACCTGCAGCTGCAGTAGGGGGGTCTGGGGCATGTGAGCTGGGCCCAACCAGTGGCATAGTTTCAAGGGGAAGGGTGTGAAAGCGCATGCAAAGCGAATGCGAACTGAAATGAGCAAAGAGCGACATTGCAAGGCTGGGTCCAGACCAGAGAGGGGGAGGCACTTACTGGATCGGTTTGCTGCAGGTGAGTGCGTGCATGGCCGCAGGGTGGAGCGGTGGCGTTGGAAGGGCCGGCACGGATGGAGCAGATGGAAGGTCCAGACCCCCCTATCCAGGCAAGGCGTCTCCGGCGCACAGCAGACGCAGCAGCGCATGGCGTGGCGTCTCAGGCGAGCAAGCACAGCAGACGCAGCAGCGCTGCCACTTGAGCTCCTGCAGCGGGTGGGGGTGGGGGGGGGGGAGAGAAGGAGGGGACGGGAGCAATTGAGTGGGATGGAAAAGCGAGCGTGGAAGGGGATGGCTGAATGCCTGGCGAGATGAGATGGAGGATGAGCGGAGGAAGGGCCACCCGTGGAGGCACAGCTGCAAGCCACAGACCCAAGGGAGGATGTACCTGCAGTGAGGGCTGTACCTGAAGGCTTGACCTGGGGGGGGCTTTATCGGCAGTAAGGGAGGTCTGTGGGCTGCAGACTGTGCGTCCACCAGCGGCACCGTTTTGTGAGGAGAAGGAAATGGTGGCGAAGAAACAAGGCGAGATGAGGAGTGCAAGGGTGGGTGAATGGAGAAACGGACGACAACTTAGCTGATGCTGTGAGCGCGTGCAGAAGGCACGTGGGAGCACCGTGAGGCGAGCGAGGCTGAGCGCAGCGTGAGGCCTCTCACGCCCCACGCTGCCTCAGAGTGAGGCGCTTTCAGCTGCCTCCAGGTGGTCGAGGCACGAGAACGCTGAAGCACCCCCAGCTGCTTGCTGACTGCCCCGCCTGAGGGGTGGGGAGGAGGGGGTGGGGGGATAGGGGGGGATTCTTCAGACGCCTAAAAAAACGTCTCACTTCACCTGGTGCGTCCCCTCTAGCAGCGCCAGCACCTGATGATCCTCGTGGAAAAAGCTCCGGCACCTGGGGGGAAAAGGGAAATGGGGGGGAGGGGGGGGTTGCCCATGGCACACAAACACGAGCGAGCGGCAGCGAGGGGAGACAGCTAGGAGGAGGAGACTCGACGCGTGCATGCAGCGACAACACTTAAGTCTAACGACGCCTAACCCGCTAGCGACTGAACTCTATGCAAGCGGCTCAAGCAAACGCCGTGGCCATGGGCTTTCGGGGGGAAAAGGAAGGGGGGAGGGGGTGGGGTTGTGGTTAGGAATGAGCAATCGAAGGGGTGGGGTGCATGGAATCAATGGTGCATAAGCAAAGCAAAGCCAAATCGCATGCGAGGAAATGGGACCGGCCAAATCGCATGGGAATGGGCACTTAGCTTCAGAGACGAATGGGAATGGGCACTTAGCTTCAGAGACGATGTTTGATGGCGGGTCGTTGGTCGTCACAGCAAGCGCCATGCGCGCATGGAGCGCCAGGCGACACAACGCGTGCTGAGCGTCATGCGTGCATGGAGCCACGCTCGGTCGCCGTGCATCCTGACCGCCGTGCAGGGAGCCATGGGTGTGCAGGTGTTACTTGCTTGCTCGGTGGGAGAACGCCTCAACGCTCCACTTCGTCGGTGCATAGAAAATAATATCTGAACAAGGCGACATGGAATGTCAGAAAGGATCGCGTCGATTTCGTGAAGAAGTTGAAGCGAACGATCAGAAAATAATTCAAAACGGTTGAATCAGCAAGGAATTGGAATGGCATCTTCTACTTACATTACACACGTAGCATTTGCCATTCGTCTTGACATGCCATTCGGCGTCTGCACGGACGTTCGAAGCACACCTCAGCGACTCAGCGGATTTCACATAAACCCTGCAAATCAATACAGAAAATGTCAGTTTCCAAGGATAAAATCTCAATGGAAAAAAAACGCGGCGAATAAAACATCAAAACCGATAATACTTACAGCGCAGCTCAAGCAGCAGAAGCAGCAGATCTTCATCAAAACGTTCGACCATGGCGGATCAGAGTCTTCATGAGGACGAAGACCACAGAGCTGCGGCTCTGTTTCGCAAGCTCAACGCGTCTGGGCTTCAAATATTCATTGACAGGGCAGAAGCAGCAGCAGCAGCACAAGCAGCAGAAGCAGTTGAAGCAGCAGTAGCAGTAGTAGCAGCAGTAGCAGCAGAAGCAGTAGTAGCAGCAGAAGCAGTAGTAGCAGCAGTAGCAGCAGAACAGGCTCGCGGTAGCAGCAGCAGAGGCGAGGTTTGGTGAAAGTCGAATGACGGAAATGAGGGAGAAATTTGAGGCGAGTAGGAAATGAATGGCTGGGGAAATGAAGAAGTGTGTTGGCTAATGAAATTTGGTCGAGGGAAATGGGAATGGTTGGGAGAAATGGCTTGCCGAGGGAGAGGTTGTTTCGAGGCTAAATAGGAGGAGTGGGGTCGAAACGAGATGGGTCGGGGCTTCGCGGCTGCTGCTGCTGCTGCTGCTTTTCGCTGCTAAAGAATCGAACGAAGACGAGTGGTCCAGGGTGCGTCAAAATTGTTTGAACGGAGTCGATATTTTTAGCTAAAAGTGTATCACTGAAACTGTGGATGTTTTCTAAAAACTCGCAGTGCCAGCCTAGGGAATGACAACAAGGGAGGGCAGATGACGGTTCAACATTCTCAGCTCGCATAAATGACTGCTGCCCAAACAAAATAAATAAATGTCGGTGTATTTTGCATCCCGCATCGCGAATCGAAACTTCGGAAATCGGTGGGATGACGACACGGTGTCGCTGGGAGGGATGGCCGTTGGTTGTGAATCGATGGAGGGAGTGAGCTCGGACCGTCGGATCCTCTTGAAACAAAAACAACGAAGGACCCAGATTAACGGAGTGAATGTTCGAAAGCTATATCTGAGCGGGAACGCCAAACCGACAATTTCAAATCGCCGCTCAGCGAATCATGAGTTGGTGTCAGTGGATGAGCCAATGATAGGAGCAAACCCTAACTAACCGTTGGAAGAAAGCTCCTGGGATCAGGTTTTGGTTGGATGAGCTTCCCTTCTTTCCCTGAGAGTCTTGGGGGATAATCAGAGGCTTTCAGTTGGACAAGCGAAGAAAGGCCTGGGGAGGAAAGACAGTGGTCAGGTGCTGCGAAGAGCTTTTCGCGAAATGCTATGCCTTGGTTGGCTCACTGCTCATTATAAACGAGCGTGCTCTGATACCTGCCTGCTACACTTGCGAAAGGGGTACTGTATTCCGTGGCTGATGTTGGAGTCAGTCATTCAGCGGCGACCAATAAAATCTCTTGGAACGGGCCACACTGACGCGGTCGTTGGAAGACTGACTTTGCCCAGGCAGGGCTTCAGGTCCGGGCTTCGTTTTAAATTTGTTCACCTTTGGTTCAGCAACCACACTCGCCCCGAACCAACCACAGCCTCGTGTCTAGTGCTTCGTCTAGTGGTTCGTGTCATTTGCAATAATTGGACGAATGTATAACTAGTCTTGGCAAATTCAAGTTGATGACTAACCAAACAAAACAATTTGGTTTCATGGGCTTGAAAAGATTTAGGCTATTAAAGCGAGCGTACAGACCAAACTCAAGAGTCAAAGGTTTTGAGTCCCCCGACGCACGAAAACTAACGCGAAACAAACACGGTAACCAAATACCAGCAGTAGGGGTGCGATTTTTATTTGGGAAGATTCTGATTGGCTATGCGACTCACCACCAACCCAGCGACAGAACAAGGAAAGCCTCTCCCCCCGCCACATCAAGACCCAAAGCTTTTGCTTTTTACTCTGTACTCAGTAGCCATGGCTCCTTCCCCGCCATTCTCGCTCCCTAACACAGCGCTTACCTCCGATTTCGTCATTCACGGGAAAGGTGCGGCTTATTAGTAACGTTTACATGTACCCGTAACCCTGTGGGCGACAGCTACCTGCCGCATCTCCGTTAGTTTATGCGACCAGTGATTTCGTACCTAATCGCCCACTTCGCTGCATGCCACGCTATCATTTTAGGGCGTGCCACGCGAAGACCTTATTAGCAAGCTCTAAGGCATTTCCTCGCCGGTGCGCCCAAGTACATCGCCCGTTGCCTCGCTTCCCACTCCCCGCTCCTCGCAGCAGCTGCGAGAGCGCTGCCCCGCTTTCCCACTCTTCCGCATTCCCTGTTTTCCGCCCCGCCCACTGCATCTGCCTGCATTCGCCTCCCGGATTTCCCGCACTCAAGCTGCCACTACTTTCCCGCTTCCCGTATCCCACTTCCTGCTCTCTCGATCCCACTTTCCCATTATCCTGCTTCCCCGATTTTCCGCTTTCCGCCCAATCCGCTAGCCCGCGTTCCCCCAGTCCCGGTTTCCGCTTTCCCGCGTCCCCGCTTCCCCCCAGCACCCATTTTCCCATCCCTTTCCCATCCTCGTTGGCCATCCCATGTCTTCCCGTCGCCAATTCCCTCCCTTCCTATCCCCACGCCCTGCAGGGCTATGGGAGGGGGGGAAGCAGGGCTATGGGAGGGGGGGAAGCAGGGCTATGGGAGGTGGGGAAGCAGGGCTATGGGAGGGGGGGAAGCATGGCTATGGGAGGGGGGAAAGCATGGCTATGGGAGGGGGGGAAGCAGGGCTATGGGGGGGGGGGGAAGCAGGGCTATGGGAGGGGGGGAAGCAGGGCTATGGGAGGAGGGGAAGCAGGGCTATGGGAGGGGGGGAAGCACGGCTATGGGAGGGGGGGAAGCATGGCTATGGGAGGGGGGGAAGCAGGGCTATGGGAGGGGGGGAAGCATGGCTATGGGAGGGGGGAAGCAGGGCTATGGGAGGTGGGGAAGCAGGGCTATGGGAGGGGGGAAAGCAAGGCTATGGGAGGTGGGGAAGCAGGGCTATGGGAGGGGGGAAATCAGGGCTATGGGAGGGGGGGAAGTAGGGCTATGGGAGGGGGGGAAGCAGGGCTATGGGAGGTGGGCAAGGAGGGCTATGGGAGGGGGGGAAGGAGGGCTATAGGAGGGGGGGAAGGAGGGCTATGGGAGGGGGGGAAGGAGGGCTATGAGAGGGGGGGAAGTAGGGCTATGGGAGGGGGGGAAGCAGGGCTATGGGAGGGGGGGAAGGAGGGGCATGGCAGCAGGGGAAAGGAGGTTCTTGGGAGGGGGGGAGAAGTAGGGGTCTGGATGGGAGGGAGGCGGGTTTTCTCTCTCGCGCCCCCCCCCCCTATCTCTCTCTATCGATCTCTCTCTCTCTCTCTCTCTCTCTCTCTCTCTCTCTCTCTCTCTCTCTCTCTCTCTCTCTCTCTCTCTCTCTTTCTCTCTTTCTTTTTTTTCTCCGCCTCTCTCTCTCTGGCCCCCTCCACTCACTCCTCCAAATGCCCTTCTCACTCTGGTTTCTTATTTGCGACCGTCCAACTGTCCCCCTCCCCCCCCCCCCCCCCCTCTCCCCCCTCTTATTGTCGTACCCACCGCTTCCAACGCCACCCCTCATGATCCCCGCGCCTATCCCTTCCTAAAACCATTCCGTCGTACCTCCTGCTCCCACTCCGTCTTACCCCCTGCTCCCACTCCGTCTTACCCCCTGCTCCCACTCAGTGCTGTGAGGGGGGAAGCACAGTGCTGTGAGGGGGGAAGCACAGTGCTGTGACGTGGGAAGCATATTGCTGAGAGGGGGGAAGCATAGCTCTGTGAGGGGGGAAGCATAGCACTGTGCTCATCTCCCCGTGTTTTTCGGGAGGGGTAGGCGGGCTCTGGTGGGGGGGAGAGGTGACATCTGGTGGGGGTTTCCTTGGTCGTGCTGCATTGTGTGTCTTGCTTCTTGCCTAATAAAAATGACGATCGCGCCCTTCTCGTTTGTGTACGTTTTAAAACCCTGACTTTGCACTCAGTGGGAACTAGATTCCTGATATTTTCAAGTCGTGTGCTTCATTGTTTAAATATTGTCCTGTATTTGTGTAAACGTAGATGCGTTGTGGTGGTTTCTACGTTTCTACGTTTTCACGAGCTTTAGCAACACTGTAGGTGCTTTTCTCCGTAAATGAGTTTTACTGTTTCAATTTGTCTGAACAGTGCTTTCGCGTGTTCGACGGGCAGCGTCGCCCGCTGTACCCTTGCGACCTCGCCAGTTTTGGCGAGATCATTAACAGCCGTCGCGAGACCCCTAGCCTTTCGCGTGGGGCCCGCCCCGTTTTTGCGACACTTGTGCCCCTCGCGATTTTCGCTACCCCCAACTCAAGATTCAAAGCCTTTGACTCTTGAGTTTGGTCTGTATGCTCGCTTTAACAGGAGCAAACCTCGCTAAGCATGACAACAGCCAGCCAGACATGCATTTTACACATAGCTTCCCATTACCTAGCTGGCTGGCTGGCTAGCACGCAAGTGCCGGTACCAATTGCACGGACGAAAACCTGGCGGTGTGGCACTATTAGTATGCGCTGTCCGGACTTAGGGAATTTATCCTCGTCGCCCCCCCTCTGCTAGACAAAAAACCAACACACATTACGCATCACTTGCAAGTTGCAACGCAGTGTTGTTGTTCAGGTGTCCAGACTTCCTAAACCAGTACACATAATTTGCACAGAACATATATCCACTACACGGGCGTCTGCACGGGCGTCTACATGGGCGTCGGGCACAGATATCCATCGGTTGCACTGGTTGGGTTTTTTTTTTTTATTCAGAGGCAGCTGTGCAGGGAACGGGCAAAGAGAGGGCGGCTCGTGGTGCTGCTGCTGCAACGCGGCCTAAAGGTGGTGCCAAAGCGACCTCCAGCCTCTTGCAAGTGCGCCTCAATTTGGCAGCAGAGGCGCAGCAGAGGGATGTCCTGCCCCATGGGCCCCACCACCTGGTGAGCGTTGGGCAAGAGAGGAGGAGCGGGAGGGATGGTACGAGGAAAAATGCAAGGAATGATGAAGCATGAATGTGTGGGTGTGTGTAAGTGTAGTATGTGTAAGGACGCGTACAAGTCTCAATCCCACCCACACCTCTCCTCACCCAGACCTCTCCTCACCCACATCTCTCCTCACCCACACCTCTCCCTCCTCACCCACATCACTCCCCACCCACCGCAAGCATGAGTCCCTTATCCCCCCATGCTCCCCCACCTGCATGCCGCATGGGAGTCCATCGATCCAGCCGAGGGGCATGCCCACAACGGGGTGGCCCGTGATAGTGAGCGGCATGGTGAAGGACCGCAGGGCGCGGGGGTACGGCACTTGCTGCCACTGCTGCTGAATCTGAGGTTGCTGTTGGGCTTGCTGCTTGTCACTGCCGCTCACTGCGATCGTGAGCGGCTGGTGTTGAGGGTTGTGGGGGAACGGTAGGACAGAGGCGACTGGGGCAGAGAGAGGGGAGAGGGGTGAGGGGGGGAGGGGGAAGGGGGGAGGGGGGAGGGGGAGAGGAGAGGGGAAGAAAAGGGAGGAAACGGATGGGAAGGGAGAGGGAGAGAAACTGGGTGAGGGAAATCGGAGGAGAATAGGGAGGCGAAGAAGGAAAGTGCCCGGCCGGAAGATGCATGTCTTCTGGAAGTGCTATTGACCGGAGATTGGGAATCACACCTGGCAGAATCCAAGGGCAGCGAGGAGGTTGTCTGAGAGAACCGCATTCACCACAGCTTGCTTCTGCTGCTGTGTTCCTGAAAAAAAGGTCTCTGGGTGTTAAAAATCCGCACCTGGTAGGATCCAAGCAGCGAGGTTGTTGTCGGAGAGAAAAGCGTCCACCACAGCTTGCTGCTGCTGCTGTGTCCTCCGTGCTGCTCCCACTTCAGCCTCCCACTGCTGCCTCTCTGCCTCCTCCTCCTCGTTCCTATCCCGCTCCACTGCATTCCTCGCACCACTTTTCCTGCTCTCCCCACTGTTCTTGCTCCCTTGGGGGCCTGGGGATTGGTGCCGCTGGGCTTGCTTCTGAGCTGCGAAGATGAATTCCTGGCGTCAGATGCGGGTGAACAGTGAAGGGAAGACAAACGGATAGAGAGATGAGGAGAGAGGCGTTAAGAGGACGAGTGATGAGGTAATGGCGTGAAGGGGACGAGTGGCCAAGGGATAACTGGACGGACTTTGCACGTACTCTGTGACAATGAGATGCCAAAGGGTCGTGAATGCATGTACGGCTCACAGATACGGACCTGTGAGAGTGAGCGATGGAACTGTACGAGAGAGAATGACCAGTGACCACGGATGGACGGGTTTTGAGTCAACTCAAAAGCAGATGGATGGAACCATACGAGAGCGCATTGCCACCACGGAAGGGCAGACTCATCCCCACATGCCCCTCGCTCGCACCTTGGATGCTTTGTCCAGTGCTTTAAAGTCCAGCCTGGGAGCGTCTGTCAACACAAACTCCACTTGCTGCCTGCCCCCACGCTCATGCTGATGCTGATGCTGCTTCCCTTGCTTCCTGCCGGTGTCAGCAGCAGCGGCATATGCAGGATCCGAGCAAGCCATAGAAGCGGGCATGGGAGTCGCCGCGAGGGCTTGGAAGAGGAGGGAGATGCGGGAATCAACGGGGGCGCCGGGGAGATGCCCGGAGACGGCTACTCGGAGAGGAGGACATGGGGAACGCGGGGGTGAACGAGGGGGAGGAGAGGCAGGGAGGAGGGGAGGTGGAGGTGGAAGGCGGGAGAGGACAACAGACATGATGAACTGGAGATCCTCCATGGTCCTCTGGGGGGAGCAGGGGGCGGGGTCGGGGAGAGGGTGGGGGGAAGAGAGAAGGAAGGGGGGGGGTGAGGGGAAGGGGACCCACGGAATGGAATGAGGTCAGTTGAGAGTGGGAGGATGGGGAGGGAGGAGTGATGGGGCAAAGGTGCTGCTCCGTGGAATGCAGAGCGGTTGAAGGACGGGCAATAGCACACGCGCGCACAGGCGCGAACAAACATTGGAGATGCCAGGGTGAGTTTTGAGCTTTGGACGGTGCAGAGCGCCAAGACAGATGGTGAAGATGCTGTAAGTGTGCAGTGAGGGAGGAGAGGAAGGCGAGGGAAGAGAGGGGATCGGCTTTGAGGATCATGAAAATGGGCATGATATGAGGGGGAGCGGTAGATGGACAGACAGTGACTACGCCGTAGGTGTGCAGGGACGAGAGAAGGGCGAACTTAGAAGGGGAACGAAAGGAGAAGGACGGCAGGTTCTAAGGCGCATAATCATGGCCCACGGGCATGAGGGTAATCGGTAGAGAGGGAATGACGGTGAAGCGCCATAGGTGTGCAGGGAGGAGAGGAGGGCGAGAGAAGAAGGATGCCGGTTCTGAGGCGCGTAATTTTGGCCCATGGGCATGGCAGGAAGCGGTAGAGAGGGACTGACAGTGAAGACGCCGTAGGTGTGCAGGGAGGAGAGCAGGCCCAGCGACGGAAGAGGGACGTCGGAGCCTAGCACAGGCCAGCGGTCGCGAGACGGACGGAGAGAGCAAAGGCTGCAGAACGACGCCTGGGTGGGAGGGCGTGGAGAGGAGAGGAGGGCAAGAGGGTTGTGATGGGAACGAGGGTATGGTAGTAGGGGGGCTTGAGGTGGTGATAGGTATGGGGGGGGGAGCATGGCAGAGTGGGGGGAAACGATGGAGGCATAGGATAGCAGGGGCAGAGCAGTGAGGCGTTGCGGCAATTCGGCAGCGCAGCAGTGAGGCAGTGAGGCAGTGGGACAGGTGGCACTCACAGGCAGTCGAAGGGAGCCCTCGAGGTCGGTTCCCAGAGCAAAGAGCACCATGCCTGCTGCCACTGCAGCTGCTGACCCTGACACACGTGCACGGGAGGGGAAGGGGGGAGTGAATAGAGGGGGGAAGGGTGGGGCGGAGAGAGTGTCACAGTGAGTGGTTGAGCTAGGGGGTGGGACAGTGCACAAACGTGGGAGGAATGGTAGTATAAAACGTGTAATGAACCAAGCGTGTTCTGCAAGCGTGGTGAGTCACCTCCAGAGCTCCCCCCGGGTGTGAGGGAGTGGTTGAGCGGGTTGCAGGTGACGCCAAAAACGCCGTTAAACGTCTGAAAGTCCATCGAGAGCTATCATTGCGGGAGATTGACAGGGGGAATCGATAGGGGTAGCGTGTGGCCGGACAGGGTGGGTGGGTATGTGCGGATGGAGAGGGGCGGAGGAAAGGGACAGGGAAAGGCAGAGGTAAAAGGAAGAGGTAAAAGGAAGAGGTAAAAGGAAGAGGTAAAAGGAAGAGGTAAAAGGAAGAGGTAAAAGGAAGAGGTAAAAGGAAGAGGTAAAAGGAAGAGGTAAAAGGAAGAGGTAAAAGGAAGAGGTAAAAGGAAGAGGTAAAAGAAGATAAAAGGAAGAGGTAAAAAAAAAAAAAGAGTAAAAGGAAGAGGTAAAAGGAAGAGGTAAAAGGAAGAGGTAAAAGGAAGAGGTAAAAGGAAGAGGTAAAAAAGAGTAAAAGGAAGAGGTAAAAGGAAAGGTAAAAAAAAAAAAGAAGAGGTAAAAGAAAGAAAAAAAAAAAAAAAAAAAAAAAAAAAAAAAAAAAAAAAAAAAATAAAGGAAAGAAAAGGAAGAGGTAAAAGGAAGAGGTAAAAGGAAGAGGTAAAAGGAAGAGGTAAAAAGGAAGAGGAAGAGGTAAAAGGAAGGGGAGGTAAAGGAAGAGGGGGTAAAAGGAAGAGGTAAAAGGAAAGAGGTTAAAAGGAAGAGGTAAAAAAAAAAGGAAGAGGTAAAAGGAAGAGGTAAAAAAAAGAAGAGGTAAAAGGAAGAGGTAAAAGGAAGAGGTAAAAGAAAGAGGTAAAAGGAAGAGGTAAAAAAAGAGGTAAAAGGAAGAGGTAAAAGGAAGAGGTAAAAGGAAAGGTAAAAGGAAGAGGTAAAAGGAAAGAGGTAAAAGAAGAGGTAAAAAAGGAAAAGGAAATAAAAGGAAGAGGTAAAAGGAAGAGGTAAAGGAAGAGGTAAAAGGAAGAGGTAAAAGGAAGAGGTAAAAGGAAGAGGTAAAAGGAAGAGGTAAAAAGGAAGAGTATAAAAGGAAGAGTAAAAGGAAGAAGGTAAAAGGAAGAGGTAAAAGGAAGAGGTAAAAGAAGAGGTAAAGGAAGAGGTAAAGGAAGAGGTAAAAGGAAGAGGTAAAAGGAAGAGGTAAAAGGAAGAGGTAAAGGAAGAGGTAAAAGGAAGAGGTAAAAGGAAGAGGTAAAAGGAAGAGGTAAAAGGAAGAGGTAAAGGAAGAGGTAAAAGGAGAGGTAAAAGGAAGAGGTAAAAGGGAAGAGGTAAAAGGAAGAGGTAAAAGGAAGAGGTAAAAGGAGAGGTAAGGAAGAGGTAAAGAAGAGGTAAAAGGAAGAGGAAGGAAGGGAAGGAGAGGTAAAGGGGGGGGGGGGGGGGGGGGGGGGGGGGGAAAGGAAGAGGAAAAGGAAGAGGAAAAGGAAAGAGGAAAAAGGAAGAGGAAAAGGAAAGGAAAAGAAGAGGTAAAAGGAGAGGTAAAGGAGGGAAAGGAAGGTAAAAGGGAAGAGGTAAAGGGGGGGAAGAGGTAAAAGGAAGAGGAAGGAAGAGGAAAGGAAGAGGTAGGAAGAGGAAGGAGGGTAAAAGGGAAGAGGGGGGGGTAAAAGGAAGAGGTAAAAGGAAGAGGTAAAAGGAAGAGGTAAAGGAAGAGGTAAAGGAAGAGGTAAAAGGAAGAGGTAAAAGGAAGAGGTAAAGGAAGAGGTAAAAGGAAGAGGTAAAAGAAGAGGTAAAGGAAGAGGTAAAAGGAAGAGGTAAAAGGAAGAGGTAAAAAGGAAGAGGTAAAAGGAAGAGGTAAAAGGAAGAGGTAAAAGGAAGAGGTAAAAGGAAGAGGGTAAAAGGAAGAGGTAAAAGGAAGAGGTAAAAGGAAGAGGTAAAAGGAAGAGGTAAAAGGAAGAGGTAAAAGGAAGAGGTAAAGGAAGAGGTAAAAGGAAGAGGTAAAAGGAAGAGGTAAAAGGAAGAGGTAAAAGGAAGAGGTAAAAGGAAGAGGTAAAAGGAAGAGGTAAAAGGAAGAGGTAAAAGGAAGGAGGTAAAAGGAAAGAGGTAAAAGGAAGAGGTAAAAGGAAGAGGTAAAAAAGGAAGAGGTAAAAGGAAGAGGTAAAAGGGAAGAGGTAAAAGGAAGAGGTAAAAGGAAGAGGTAAAAGGAAGAGGTAAAAGGAAGAGGTAAAAGGAAGAGGTTAAAAGAAGAGGTAAAAGGAAGAGGTTAAAAGGAAGAGGTAAAAGGAAAAGAGGTAAAAGGAAGAGGTAAAAGGAAGAGGTTAAAAGGAAGAGGTAAAAAGGAAGAGGTAAAAGGAAGAGGTAAAAGGAAGAGGTAAAAGGAAGAGGTAAAAGGAAGAGGTAAAAGGAAGAGGTAAAAGGAAGAGGTAAAAGGAAGAGGTAAAAAAAAAAAAAAAAAAAAAAAAAAAAAAAAAAAAAGGAAGAGGTAAAAGGAAGAGGTAAAAGGAAAGAGGTAAAAGGAAGAGGTAAAAGGAAGAGGTAAAAGGAAGAGGTAAAAGGAAGAGGTAAAAGGAAGAGGTAAAAGGAAGAGGTAAAAAGAGGAAAGAGAGGTTAAAAAGGAAGAGGTTAAAAGGAAGAGGTAAAAGGAAGAGGTAAAAGGAAGAGGTAAAAGGAAGAGGTAAAAGGAAGAGGTAAAAGGAAGAGGTAAAAGGAAGAGGTAAAAGGAAGAGGTAAAAGGAAGAGGTAAAAGGAAGAGGTAAAAGGAAGAGGTTAAAAGGAAGAGGTAAAAGGAAGAGGTAAAAGGAAGAGGTAAAGGAAGAGGTAAAAGGAAGAGGTAAAAGGAAGAGGTAAAAGGAAGAAGGTAAAGGAAGAGGTAAAGGAAGAGGTAAAAGGAAGAGGTAAAAGGAAGAGGTAAAAGGAAGAGGTAAAAGGAAGAGGTAAAAGGAAGAGGTAAAAGGAAGAGGTAAAAGGAAGAGGTAAAAGGAAGAGGTAAAAGGAAGAGGTAAAAGGAAGAGGTAAAAGGGAAGAGGTAAAAAGGAAAAGAGGTAAAAGGAAGAGGTAAAGGAAGAGGGTTAAAAGGAAGAGGTAAAAGGAAGAGGTAAAAGGAAGAGGTAAAAGGAAGAGGTAAAAGGAAGAGGTAAAAGGAAGAGGTAAAAGGAAGAGGTAAAAAGGAAGAGGTAAAAAGGAAGAGGTAAAAGGAAGAGGTAAAAGGAAGAGGTAAAAGGAAGAGGTAAAAGGAAGAGGTAAAAGGAAGAGGTAAAAGGAAGAGGTAAAAGGAAGAGTAAAGAAGAGGTAAAAGGAAGAGGTAAAAGGAAGAGGTAAAAGGAAGAGGTAAAAGGAAGAGGTAAAAGGAAGAGGTAAAAGGAAGAGGTAAAGGAAGAAAAAGGAAGAGGTAAAAGGAAGAGGTAAAAGGGAAGAGGTAAAAGGAGAGGTAAAGGAGAGGTAAAGAAAGGAAAAGGAAGAGGTAAAAGGAAGAGGTAAAAGGAAGAGGTAAAAGGAAGAGGTAAAAGGAAGAGGTAAAAGGAAGAGGTAAAAGGAAGAGGTAAAAGGAAGAGGTAAAAGGAAGAGGTAAAAGGAAGAGGTAAAAAAATAAAAAAAAAAAGGAAGAGGTAAAAGGAAGAGGTAAAAGGAAGAGGTAAAAGGAAGAGGTAAAAGGGAAGAGGTAAAAGGAAGAGGTAAAAGGAAGAGGTAAAAGGAAGAGGTAAAAGGAAGAGGTAAAAGGAAGAGGTAAAAGGAAGAGGTAAAAGGAAGAGGTAAAGGAAGGGTAAAAGGAAGAGGTAAAAGGAAGAGGTAAAAGGAAGAGTAAAAGGAAGAGTAAAAGGAAGAGGTAAAAGGAAGAGGTAAAAGGAAGAGGTAAAAGGAAGAGGTAAAAGGAAGAGGTAAAAGGAAGAGGTAAAAGGAAGAGGTAAAAGGAAGAGGTAAAAGGAAGAGGTAAAAGGAAGAGGTAAAAAGGGAAGGAGGTAAAAGGAAGAGTAAAAGGAAGAGGTAAAAGGAAGAGGTAAAAGGAAAGGTAAAAGGAAGAGGTAAAAGGAAGAGGTAAAAGGAAGAGGTAAAAGGAAGAGGTAAAAGGAAGAGGTTAAAAGGAAGAGGTAAAAGGAAGAGGTAAAAGGAAGAGGTAAAAGGAAGAGGTAAAAGGAAGAGGTAAAAGGAAGAGGTAAAAGGAAGAGGTAAAAGGAAGAGGTAAAAGGAAGAGGTAAAAGGAAGAGGTAAAAGGAAGAGGTAAAAGGAAGAGGTAAAAGGAAGAGGTAAAAGGAAGAGGTAAAAGGAAGAGGTAAAAGGAAGAGGTAAAAGGAAGAGGTAAAAGGAAGAGGTAAAAGGGAAGAGGTAAAAGGAAGAGGTAAAGGAAGAGGTAAAAGGAAGAGGTAAAAGGAAGAGGTAAAAGGAAGAGGTAAAAGGAAGAGGTTAAAAGGAAGAGGTAAAAAGAGGGAAGAGGTAAAAGGAAGAGGTAAAAAGGAAGAGGTAAAAGGAAGAGGTAAAAGGAAGAGGTAAAAGGAAGAGGTAAAAGGAAGAGGTAAAGAAAGGAAGAGGGTAAAAGGAAGAAGGTAAAGGAAGAGGTAAAAGGAAGAGGTAAAAGGAAGAGGTAAAAGGAAGAGGGTAAAAGGAAGAGGTAAAAGGAAGAGGTAAAAAGGAAGAGGTTAAAAGGAAGAGGTAAAAGGAAGAGGTAAAAGAAGAGGTAAAAAGTAAGAAATAAAGGAAGGAAAAGAAGAGTAAAAGGAAGAGGTAAAAGGAAGAGGTAAAAGGAAGAGGTAAAGAAGGTAAAAGAGTAAAAAGAAGATAAAAGGAAAGAGGTAAAAGGAAGAGGTAAAAGGAAAGGTAAAAGGAAGAGGTAAAAGGAAGAGGTAAAGGAAGAGTAAAAGGAAAGTAAAAGGAAGAGGTAAAAGGAAGAGGTAAAAGGAAGAAAAGGAAGAGGTAAAAGGAAGAGGAAGGTAAAAGGAAGAGGTAAAAAAGAGGTAAAAGGAAGAGTAAAAGGAAGAGTAAAAGGAAGAGGTAAAAGGAAAGGTAAAAGGAAGAGTAAAAGGAAGAGTAAAAGGAAGAGGTAAAAGAAGAGGAAAAGGAAGAGGTAAAAGGAAGAGGTAAAAGGAAGAGGTAAAAGAAAGGTAAAAAAAAAAAAGAAGAGGTAAAAGGGAAGAGGTAAAAGGAAGAGGTAAAAGAAGTAAAAGGAAGAGGTAAAAAAAGGAAGAGGTAAAAGGAAGAGTAAAAGGAAGAAAAGGAAGAGGTAAAAAGGAAGAGTAAAAGGAAGAGGTAAAAGGAAGAGGTAAAAGGAAGAGGTAAAAGGAAGAGGTAAAAGAGAAAGGTAAAAGGAAGAGGAAAAAAAGGAAAAAAGTAAAAGGAAGAGGTAAAAGGAAGAGGGTAAAAGGAAGAGGTAAAGAGGAAGGAGGTAAAAGAAGAGAAGGAAGAGGTAAAAGGAAGAGGTAAAAGGAAGAGGTAAAAGGAAGAGGTAAAAGGAAGAGGTAAAAGGAAGAGGTAAAAGGAAGGGGTAAAAGCGTGCAGAGGAAGGACCAGAAAGTGAAAGGAGTTAGCGAGAGTGAGAGCGAGAGAGGATACTTGGAGGGTGAGAAGTGAAATCTTGGGCTACGAAGGCGTTTTTTTAGTCGACTCAAAAATCACCAAAGCCGTGCAGCTCGAGGATTGATGCGAACACTCCCATCTACCCACCCACCCAACCACCCATTCCCCCCTTCCCTACTATCATTCTAGGATGAGTAGTGGAGCATCTAGTGTGAATGGTTACGGCAGAGCAGGCACGTTGTTCTTGCCGATGGGCACATCACCGAGGGTTCAGCTCGTTGGTGTAAAGCAGGAGTTGATGGGAGTAGAGCCTATGCATGCAACCCACTTGTGGTGGCACTCGGCACTTGGACTACACAGTGGAAAGCAGGCACTACGGACGGACACACTACTGGCTTACAGCAGGCACGTTGGTCTTGCCGATGGGCACAGCACCGAGGGATTGCAGGAGAGAGACGGCAGAGGCAGAGGAGGGCGGAGGCGGCAGCGTGGCCAGACGCATGTCTCCACATGCTGTGGGGACACCCGCCACGTGCACTAGGTCTGATGGGGGGTGCATCGAGCAGAGCAGCAGCGGTGAATAAGGATGGGGAAAGTGGAATATGGAACGGAAAGTGGAAGATGGAACGGAAAGTGGAAGATGGAACGAGAAGCGTGGAGAGGGTTAGGTGACGGCGGGCAGGTGAGAAGGGAGTGGTAGGGGAGGTATATCCGGCACCTTTGACGAGGAACGGGATTCCCTCTAGAGGCCGCGCAACGGCAGCAGAACCATCAGCGTCAGCAGATGCAGAATCCCGCGACGCGGTATATGTGGCACCTTTGTCTGAATCTACTCCTAGGCCTACTCGCGTCGCGGGTGGCAGAAGCAGTGGTACTGGTGAGCTCGCGGGGCAGAGGTGGCAGACGGCGTTAATCCCCGGGTTCAGCTGTAGGCACATGCCCCGGTAGTGCCGCTCTAGGGATTGCCGCGACAGCCGGCCTTGTCTCACGGCTGCCGCCATCGCCGCCACGCTGCCGTCAGGATGACGGTGATGAAGATGATGTTGACGGCACCGGCAGTCGTCACCGCAGCAGCTGTGCGAGCGGCTGGAGTGGTGCGGTGGTGGCTCGTCGGCCATGGTGCATGGAGGTTTCAGCGGGATTCACGGAACGAGGGCGACGAGCGAGGGCGACAAACGAGGGCGACGAACGAGGGGGACGAACGAGGGGGACGAAAACACCTGGCGTGAAGTAAGCTGTTTGCGAAAGCAAAGCAAGGCAAAATGTGGACTGTTTGTGAAAGTAAGCTGTTGAAACCGCCGTGCCAAGAGTTTCATAAGCAGGAAAGTTGGTATTGGGTGTCCGTTCCGATTGGTGGATGGGGAAGGGTGGATGCAGAAAGAGTTGGCGAGAGGAATCTGGTCGGCGAAACTCGTCAGCCTTGCGAATTTCCGGCACGAACACGAATGGGATTGCATATTTTCTCCGATCTACATTTGGTCGTCGCAAGGACCCAGGGAGGCGAATCTCCTTTTTTGTGCGCCAAGTTGCGTGGATAACTTTAGTTCGGCGAATTTGTTTCGCAGGGGAATTCTTCGCCACTGCCTCCAAACCAAACCTAAACAGGGTGACACAACCAACCTTCCTACGGTTGAGCCAGTTTCGGCAGTTTTGGAATGGCGGTTTTGAGAATTTATTCGCTGGGGAGAGGAGGGACTGCGGAAGGGTGAACGACATGCGCGAACAATTAACGACGGGGCGTGCTACCTTGCCTATTCATGCAAAATGTGTACAGTAATTCTTTGACCAAATAAATATCAGCACTTGACGGAGCTCTCTTTAGCGGAGACAGCAATCCGCCCAGCCAAACCAGCGCTGTACGGAAAAGGTTACACTTGTAGTGCCACCGCTACAAGCATAGTCCACATCGCGCCACCACTACTAGGCTGCCAGGCTCTCTCTCACTCACTACTAGGCGTGCACCCCTATCCATTAGAAGCTCCCTTCAGCGGCAGCCACTTAGCTGGAATCCGTCAGACTCGGAGACGAATATTACCGAATATTACCGAATACTACCGAATACTACCGAATACTACCGAATACTACCGAATACTACCGAATACTGCCCAGCCAGCCAGAAGGATCGGCCTTTGGGAGACCGATTACAGTGCACTCGATCGATCGGTACTCGGTCCAATTACAGTGTACTCGATAGTATAGTCCGCCAGTCGGCGGTCTGAACCGGGCTCGTCAAATGGTGCTCCGGTGCGCCACTCTTCCTCTCCGACCCTTCTTCGTAACTCTTCCCACCGCCACCGCACGGTTCGGTTCTGGGTCGCCTCACAAGCAGTCCCTATTCGGGGACGGCGGAGGGGCCAGATGGCGGGACGGCAACGGCAGGTGGAAAGGGCTCCGCGCGGGCGCAAGCAGCGGTAACCCGGCCGCGAATGGCGGCGGGAATCCTGGCGGGTATGCGTATGGATACAGCAACCGGCCGCCCCCCAAGCCCACGCCGACTTATGAAGAGTGAGTCTCGGGTCAGCGCGGAGCGTGGGTTGGGGGAAGAGGGAGAGAGGAGAGACAGAGGAGAGAGAGTGGAGAGAGAGCGGAGAGAGAGAGGAGAGAGAGCGGAGAGAGAGAGGAGAGAGAGAGGAGTGAGAGCGGAGAGAGAGACGGGAGAGAGAGGAGAGAGGGAGGAGAGAGAGAGGAGAGAGAGAGGAGGGAGAGAGGAGGGAAAGAGGTGGTGTCATATTTTAGTCTGACTCAAAAATCACCTGCGGACGCTGCAGCTTGGGAGGTTGATCAGAACTGGTGTGTCTGAGGCTGTGTCGGTTGCCTCACCTGCATTCCTTCCTCCGCTCTCTCTCCCCTCAACCGTCCCCTTCATTCATCCATCCCTCACTCCCTCACTCCCTCCCTCCCTCACTCCCTCCCTCCCTCCCTCCCTCCCTCCCTCCCTCACTCCCTCCCTCCTCACTCCCTTCCTCCCTCCCTCCCTCCCCTCCCTCCCTCCCTCCCTCCCTCCCTCCCTCCCTCCTCCCCTCCCTCACTCCCTCCCTCCCTCCCTCCCTCACTCCCTCACTCCCTCACTCCCTTCCTCCCTCCATCCCTCCCTTCCTCCCTCCCTCCCTCCCTCCCTCCCTCCCTCCCTCCCTTCCTCCCTCCCTCCCTCACTCCCTCCCTCCCTCCCTCCCTCACTCCCTCCCTCCCTCACTCCCTTCCTCCCTCCATCCCTCCCTTCCTCCCTCCCTCCTCCCTCCCTCCCTCCCTCCCTCCTCTCTCCCTCCCTCCCTCCCCTCCCTTCCTCCCCTCCCTCCCTCCCTCCCTCCTTTCCTCCCTCCACCGCCGTCCCTTGCAGCACTGTGCTCTCCCCCCTGGGCGCGTCCCCCAGGCAGGTGCAGCAGCGCATGAGGGAGGTGAGGAGCATGCCGTTCGACGTGGCTGCACTACGTCCTAGGCGCCTCAGAAACCCTCGCGCCGTCTCTCCCTCTCTCACTCCTCCGCCGCTCCTCTTTCCACCTCGCGCCCTCGCCCCGTGCTGCGTGCCCCAGGCAGGTGCAGCAGCGCATGCGGGAGGTGACGAGCATGCCGTTCGACGTGGCGAGGCGGCTGTGGCGCCTCATCACGGAGCAGCCCGAGGAGTTCCGCCTCGTGCGCTTCCCCTCCTGGAAGGAGATGGTCAGTCAGCCAGTCAGTGTCAGTCTCTCAGTCAGTGTCGGTCGGTCGGTCAGTCAGTCAGTCAGTCAGTCAGCCAGGCAGCCAGGCAGCCAGGCAGGCAGGCACTGTTGGACGTCCATAGGGGTATTCGTGTAGTTGCTGGGAGACGTTCTTTCATGCACCTCATAAGCCCAAGGAGTTCTGCCTCATGCCTCACACGATTCTCTTCCTCGAAGGAGATGGTCAGTCAGTCACGCTCACTGTGGGACGTGCACGTGGGTAGCCTTCTTTGCTTTTTCTCTCTCTTGCTTCTCTATCTCTTGCTTCTCTCTCTCTCTTGCTGCTCTCTCTCTCTCTTGCGTCTTTTTTCTTCTCTCTTTGCCTCTTGTTTCCTTTCCTCAATTGCCATGCTCTGCCTGCCGTCCCTTGTTGCTTTTTTCAGCAACCACATCCCTTACCACTTGTTTTCTCCTGCACAATCCACCCTTGCCCTACTGCTCCACCCACTAATTCCCTATCAACACTGGCGTCCTCCTATTGTGGACATACCGGTACCCCCCCAAGCTCCCCATGCTCACATCATGTAATGTCTTCATTGCTCACATTGTTCATTCTGCTGCTTTTCCCCTGGTGCTTGTGGCAGATAACAGTGACGCTGCTCACCTTCCTCTTCATCATCGTGCTCATCATCTTCATCTCCTCTGTTGACTCCGTGCTCGCACGTGTGCTCACTCCTCGCTTCAAGCCCGCATGACATGATCTTCGCCAAGGCTTGGTTGAAATACCGTAGAGTGTTTGCAGACTAAGGGCGTATTCCTACTTCAGCCTGTTCAGTACCAGGAAACTGAACTTCACGAACAACCGAATTGAACTGGACAGGATTTCGCGTTTGGGCACCTTTGCTTCACTGTATCATGCTTCAAACTCGATTTTGGGTTTGCTGGTACTGAACACTGTACTGTATGAATGCAGCCTAAGGTTGTCTGAAGGTAATCTCTAGCACTACCACGTTTGTTAGATTCTCCTGAAGTTGATTTTACCAGGTGTATTGTTCTCCTGAACAGAAGTATACATCTACCGGTACGTAGTAGTGTAAGTGACCAGATTCAACCCAACCAACTATCCCCTCCCTGGCAATAGCATTCACTTTCACAGCCACGGCACGAAATACTCAACAGTAAACCCTTCGACACAAAAACAAGGCATGTTGCTACACTACTCCTGGCTAAGGCTCCGCCTAAAACACCCCCATCCCACCACGGCACGCAGAAGCCACGGAGAAGGCACGGAGAAGCTAGAGCGGGAGCAGGAGCACAGGGCAGGGCACGAATTCGGCGAGCAGGTTGCTGTCGACGTGCTTGTGGTGGATGGCCTCCATGCTCATCACCACCAGGTCCAGCTCCAGGTCGTCCGCGATCTCCCCCACCACCGCCGCCGGCATCTTGCCCTCGCCCAGCCGCTCCAGCAGCGAGAAGTCCGAGAAGCCACCTGGGGGTGGGGTGAGGGCGGAGAATGAAGGGGGGAGGAGAAGGCAGTTGGGAGGTGGGTTGTCGAAGAGAGGTATGAAAGGGCGGACAACCCCACCACCACTGCTGGTAACTTGCCCTCACTCAGCGGCACCAGCAAATAAAAGTTCGAGAAGCCACCTGGGGAGGGGGAGAGGGGGGGAGCAGGTGGAGCGAGCGCGGTGGGTGGAAGCAGGGGTAATAAGTGGGGAGATGAATCGGGGGAGAGAGGAGATCGGAAGGGTAGTGGACAGCTCAGCGTTGCTGTTAGCATCTTACCCTCCTCGCCCACCCGCTCCAACGGAGAAAAGCCCAAGCGCTGCCAGCACGCAGGGGGAAAGACAGGAGGGGGGGGTGACGTGAGGGCGAGGAGAGAGCAGCGGGGAGGGAGATTGGGGTCGACGAGCAGGTGAAGCCAATGCTGGTTCTGAAGAAGTCGATGGAGTGCTGGATGGAACACACCACTGTCAACGTGGTGCGGTGCCACACAGGGGCCACAGCGCGGATTGAGCAGGTCTCACCACAGCAACACAATCGCAGGAGAGGAAATGAGAGAACAGAGAGTAGTGAAAAAGGGGAAGCAGCGATCGGGATAGAAGCGTGAGTGTAGTTGGCGGAGGAAGGGCTGGAAGGAATGAGTTTACACAAGGTGGTAGAGCTCGCACGAGGATAGGAAGCCAGCAGTGCCATTGACAACGGTACATTCGGCACATGCTCGCCGTGTGTGAACGGCTGGCTCATTGGACCGAAGTGTGTGCACGTGCTTCTGGTATACTAGACGTGTGCTTTTGATGATGGGAGTGGAAAAGAAAAGAGTCAGGGGAGGTTGGGCGGGAAAACAAAGTGCAAGTCTTCTCAGTCCACAGTGAAACCCCGACAGAGGTGCGTGAGGGGGAGCGTGATAGGTTTTCGAGCCTTCTCAAAAAACCCACCATTGTTCTCAATAACGGAACAGATCACCGGGTCTGTGTCTGTGTCCTGCCTGGGCCCCGGACTGACGATGCCATGAGAAAATCAGCATTGAGTGGGCTTTTGTTTCCCTCGCTGCTCATGGTGGGAGGGAGGCGACTGCCTGACCGACTGACCGACCGACTGACTGACTGACCGACCGGCTGACTGACTGACCGACCTTCTGCAAGGTGGAAGCGGATGCTCTCGAGGCGCTGGTTGTGCTGGTCGATGGTCTCCGACTGGTCCTCGTCGATCACTGCACCACCACCACCACCACCACGGCACGGCACGGCACCACGAGTAAGGAAACGTCATCAGGACGTCCGTAACGAGTGTACGTGGGGGGTAAGGTGTGAACGCACAGCGCATGCGAGAGGGATTCGCAGAGAAGCAAACAAAAGAGAGCCTTGTGCGACTGCGTCTGCGTCTGCATTCAAAGATGCACTTCGAACATGAACAGCAAACCCCTTTTCCTGCGTCTACCCCCCCCTCCCCACACCCCCCACACCCCCCTTTTTCCTCCTCCCTTGCGCAATCCCCCTCTCCCCCTCCAAACTACCCGTCCCCCTCGCAGAATACATGCCCAATTTCTGGTACAAAAGCATTGAAGGACTCACCGACGACGGTGATGTCAGCACTGCCCCTCTTGGCCATGGCGGTTGCCGTGGCGATAGCCTGGTATACGGACACGTGGACACAAACAAGCGAATTCGGTAAAAAGACGGGTTGAAATGGCTAAGGAAACGAAATGAGCGGAGATTACGGCAACAAGCAGGGGTCACAGAGGAACCTGGCAAATCGCCTTTACAATCTCAAGCATCGTTCAATGTCAAATATTTCTCAAACATTGATGGTGACACATCAAGAGTTTGTCAGAAGCCATAAGAATCCGGAATACGAGAAAGGGGTTTCTGCTTTCATTCTCACCATCGTTCTGAATGTCCGGAAAAGCAGGACGTGTCTCAACTTTCTGCCATTGACCGAAGACAAGACCACCTTTCCCGGTAAAAGCCACACCCCCCACACACTTCCCCTCCCCCCCACGTTCCCCTCTTTTCCAACACCCCCCCAACCCCCGCCCCCTCCCTCCCCAAAAAAGGCAAGAGTCTGCACCTGTCGTGTGGATTCGTTGAGGAACGGATTCCGGTCCATGATGGGGAGAAGCAGGTGCTTGTACGCCAGGGGGTCTTCCGCCGTCGCCGGTGCAGTGGCCGTCGGTGCAGCCGGCGCCGGGGCTCCCGCTTCATCGCCTTCGGTTGCTGCGTGCACCACCACGCGGCTCCCTGCGAGCGGACGATAGGAAACAGGGATGGGACAGGGACAGGGAAGACGGGTCGGGAATTATGCGAAAAGGGACGTCGTTATGAGAAGGACAGACCTACTCTCGACAATGTTTAAAATCTGTTCAAAACGTCAGGCATTGTACCCATGAAAGTAATAAGGTGAAACTTGTCAAACAACGGCACAAAAGCGCGGGAAGGGAACGACAGTGGCAATGAAATGGGAAGAGATACTAACTTTGCGAGGACAAACGAGGGGATGTTCGGGAAAGCTGCGATAACGCATCGCATCCATGGCGTAGAAGTGTATGCTTTGAAGCTTCGTGTCTGCGGACGGCCATAGAAGCTGGAGCAGCCGCCGTAGGAACGGCCAGAGGCACTGCGACGCTGCATGCTAAAGCCTCCATTGCTTGTGTGGGATAAGGCACCGTCCTGATGCCAAAGAGATTAGCTCAGCACGCAGGGCTCAGACACTAATAAGAAACTGGCTGCTCTCTCCCGGTGAAACAGGCTCGAGGCGACTTTTCAACTACGTGTGCGACTGGGAGAGCTGGTAAAGCAGGCTAGGCAAGCACGGAAACAGTCTAGAGAACAGCTACGGTGGGGGAACAGAGGAAGAAATAAATCTGGAATGCTCCAGAAATTTGCTTGATAGAGGTAGGGATGTGAGCCGGAAGAGGGCCTAATCGAAGGTGCGAGAAGCAGGAGAAAGCCAGGAACAGGAGGGCACTGGCTGGTGCTACAAAAGAGGGGCGCGAATAATATCGGTGCTCGAAACTTCGTGTATTTCGTGAACGTTTCGCCAATACCCATCGCCCGGATGACGAATTTCAGGCGAAACCAGCGAAGGTGGGACCAGAACTGTACTGTCGTTAGTTTCGGTGCACTCTTCTGAGCCAGGTTTTGGTTGGTAGCCTAGCTGGCGAAGTGGATGGGCTTGACATGGGCCGCCAGGCAGACCCAACTGATTTGAAGGGAAAGATGATGTGGCTAGCCAATGAGTATCGAGCACGATGGTGGACACGCGCTGTCAGGTGGCCACGACATCAACGTTCTCTGTAGTCACACTCGAGACAATCTTATGCATGCCTCTGGCGTTTGGTGCTGAAGCTGGGCAGATACGAGCCTTAAAACCACAGGCTAAAATACCAAAGGGGGGGCTTCAAGTGCGTCGCTCTTGAAAGTGGGGGCACTTGAAAAACTATGGGGTACTAGTGCGAAACTGCCATAAGAAGTTTGGGGCAGACGGGCAGGTTTGAATCACAATATTACGCACCTACGGGAGGTTGGGCGATATTGAAACGCGTGCGACGAGGCGGTAAAGCCATGTACGACAAACCAAAATTTCCGCCAAAATGGCGAGAGAGGAATCCCATTGTAGCCGGGGCGTGTTTAGGTTCGATCTGGTCCAACGCCAAGTTATGCGAATAAGCAGAACTTAGACGAAACATCCATAGAGAGGGGACTACCTGCGTCAATATGCGTGACGCGAGAACGGGGTTCCGAAAAGGTTGACTTCAGAAGGCTTGTGGAACCTCGAGAGTCTTTTGCAAATAAAATTGGTATGTAACTCGTACATAATGTAATAGCATGTACCTGGAACGTTATGAATAGCATACACCAGTATCAACATCACAATGTAATATGCAAAATGCATTTTGCGCCTCTGTGGTTTAGAGAAACAATGCAACATTTTATAGCAAAATTAGGCTACGAAAATATGTAATTGCAGCGAGCAATACCCCTGCATGCATCATTCGCATATGTTGAAATGGCAGCACGGGCAGAATTCCCCACACCAGTGGCAGCAGAGATACCGTAACTGCAGCATTGGCGGCAGTGCTGGCATAGAGGGACATAAGTGAAAGGGGTAGCGGATGGAGGAAAAGCTTGACAGGGTGGGAGAAAAAGGAAGGGATGATGGCAGAAAGGATGGGAGATGCGAGCGAGGTCGGGAAAAAAAATCATTGCCTCGACCACAAGGGGATGCGGCACAGGAGAGAGCTGGGGCACATCACAGAGGGGGGGGGACACCAAAGAGAGGGGGGACAGCAGAGAGGGGGGGGGGCAGCAGAGAGCAGGGGGATAGCAGAGACCGGGCAGGCAGCAGAGAGGCGGGGGACAGCAGAGAGCAGGGGGACAGCAGAGAGCGGGCTGGCAGCAAAGAGCAGGGGGACAGCATCGAGTGGGGGGGATAGCAGAGAGCAGGCGGACAGCAGAGAGCGGGGGATAGCAGAGAGCAGGCAGACAGCAGAGAGCGGGGGGATAGCAGAGAGCAGGCAGACAGCAGGGAGCGGGGGAATGGCAGAGAGCAGGCAGACAGCAGAGAGCGGGGGGATAGCAGAGAGCAGGCAGACAGCAGAGAGCGGGGGGATAGCAGAGAGCAGGCAGACAGTAGAGAGCGGGGGGGTAGCAGAGAGCAGGCAGACAGCAAGGAGCGGGGGGATAGCAGAGAGCAGGCAGACAGCAGACAGCGGGGGGGTGGCAGAGAGCAGGCAGACAGCAGAGAGCAGGCAGACAGCAAAGAGCGGGGGGATAGCAGAGAGCAGGCAGACAGCAGAGAGCGGGGGGATAGCAGAGAGCAGGCAGACAGCAGAGAGCGGGGGGATAGCAAAGAGCAGGCAGACAACGGAGAGCGGGGGGATAGCAGAGAGCATGCAGACAGCAAGGAGCGGGGGGATAGCAGAGAGCAGGCAGACAGCAGAGAGCGGGGGGGTGGCAGAGAGCAGGCAGACAGCAGAGAGCGGGGGGATGGCAGAGAGCAGGCAGACAGCAGAGAGCAAGGGGGTAGCAGAGAGCAGGCAGACCGCAGAGAGCGGGGGGATAGCAGAGAGCAGGCAGACAGCAGAGAGCGAGGGGATGGCAGAGAGCTGGGGGATGGCAGAGAGCAGGCAGACAGCAGAGAGCGGGGGGGTAGCAGAGAGCAGGCAGACAGCAGACAGCGGGGGGATAGCAGAGAGCAGGCAGACAGCAGAGAGCAGAGGGATAGCAGAGAGCAGGCAGACAGCAAGGAGCGGGGGGATAGCAGAGAGCAGGCAGACAGCACGGAGCGGGGGGTGGCAGAGAGCAGGCAGACAGCAGAGAGCGGGGGGATAGCAGAGAGCAGGCAGACAGCAGAGAGCGGGGGGATAGCAAAGAGCAGGGAGACAGCAGAGAGCTGGGGGATGGCAGAGAGCAGGCAGATAGCAGAGAGCGGGGGGATAGCAGAGAGCGGGGGGAAGGCAGAGAGCAGGCAGACAGCAGAGAGCGGGGGGATAGCAGAGAGTAGGCAGACAACAAAGAGCGGGGGGGTGGCAGAGAGCAGGCAGACAGCAGAGAGCGGGGGGGTGGCAGAGAGCAGGCAGACAGCAGAGAGCTGGGGGATGGCAGAGAGCAGGCAGACAGCAGAGAGCAAGGGGGTAGCAGAGAGCAGGCAGACAGCAGAGAGCGGGGGGATAGCAGAGAGCAGGCAGACAGCAGAGAGTGAGGGGATGATAGAGAGCTGGGGGATGGCAGAGAGCAGGCAGACAGCAGAGAGCGGGGGGGTAGTAGAGAGCAGGCAGACAGCAGAGAGCGGGGGGATAGCAGAGAGCAGGCAGACAGCAAGGAGCAGGGGGATAGCAGAGAGCAGGCAAACAGCAGAGAGCGGGGGGGTAGCAGAGAGCAGGCAGACAGCAAGGAGCGGGGGGATAGTAGAGAGCAGGCAGACAGGAGAGAGCGGGGGGGTGGCAGAGAGCAGGCAGATAGCAGAGAGCTGGGGGATGGCAAAGAGCAGGCAGACAGCAGAGAGCGGGGGGGTAGCAGAGAGCAGGCAGACAGCAGAGAGCGGGATAGCAGAGAGCAGGCAGACACCAGAGAGCGGGGGGATAGCAGAGAGCAGGCAGACAGCAGAGAGCGGGGGGATAGCAGAGAGCAGGCAGACAGCAGAGAGCGGGGGGGTGGCAGAGAGCAGGCAGATAGCAGAGAGCGGGGGGATAGCAGAGAGCAGGCAGACAACAGAGAGCAGGGGGATAGCAGAGAGCAGGCAGACAGCAGAGAGCGGGGGGATAGCAGAGAGCAGGCAGACAGCAGAGAGCGGGGGGATAGCAGAGAGCAGGCAGACAGCAGGGAGCGGGGGGGTGGCAGAGAGCAGGCAGACAGCAGAGAGCGGGGGGATAGCAGAGAGCAGGCAGACAGCAGAGAGCGGGGGGGTGGCAGAGAGCAGGGAGACAGCAGAGAGCTAGGGGATGGCAGAGAGCAGGCAGACAGCAGATAGCGGGGGGATAGCAGAGAGCAGGCAGACAGCAGAGAGCGGGGGGATAGCAGAGAGCAGGCAGACAACAAGGAGCGGGGGGAAGGCAGAGAGCAGGCAGACAGCAGAGAGCGGGGGGATAGCAGAGAGCAGGCAGACAACAGAGAGCGGGGGGTTGGCAGAGAGCAGGCAGACAGCAGAGAGCGGGGGGATAGCAGAGAGCAGGCAGACAGCAGGGAGCGGGGGGATAGCAGAGAGCAGGCAGACAGCAGGGAGCGGGGGAATGGCAGAGAGCAGGCAGACAGCAGAGAGCGGGGGGATAGCAAAGAGCAGGCAGACAGCAGAGAGCGGGGGGGTGGCAGAGAGCAGGCAGACAGCAGAGAGCTGGGGGATGGCAGAGAGCAGGCAGACAGCAGAGAGCGGGGGGGTAGCAGAGAGCAGGCAGACAACAGAGAGCGGGGGGATAGCAGAGAGCAGGCAGACAGCAGGGAGCGGGGGGATGGCAGAGAGCAGGCAGACAGCAAAGAGCGGGGGGATAGCAGAGAGCAGGCAGACAGCAGAGAGCGGGGGGGTGGCAGAGAGCAGGCAGACAGCAGAGAGCGGGGGGATAGCATAGAGCAGGCAGACAGTAGAGAGCAGGGGGATAGCAGAGAGCAGGCAGACAGCAGAGAGCGGGGGGATAGCAGAGAGCAGGCAGACAACAAAGAGCGGGGGGATAGCAGAGAGCAGGCAGACAGCAGGGAGCGGGGGGGTGGCAGAGAGCAGGCAGACAGCAGAGAGCTGGGGGATGGCAGAGAGCAGGCAGACAGCAGAGAGCGGGGGGATAGCAGAGAGCATGCAGACAGCAGAGAGCAGGCAGACAACAGGGAGCGGGGGAACAGCAGAGAGCGGGAGGAATGGAGGGACAGGAGAGAGCAGGCAGACAGCAGAGACCGGGATCTTTATTCCAAATATTAAGGCCCTCTTACTGCCAAGCACTCCCCCTCTACCCGCCATCTGTTCTCCCTCACCCTGCCCTTTGTTCCCCCTCCCCTTGCCCTTTGTTCCCCCTCTCTTTGCCCTTTCTTCCTCCTTCCCTTGCCCTCCGTTCTTTGGTCTTCTTCGCCCTACTTTGCTCTCTCCTCGCTCTCTCATCCCCTCGCACACCCCTCCTCGCCGTTGGTTAACCCTTTCCTCCCCCTCTTTTCCGCATCTCTTCCCCTTCTCATCCCCCTCCCCTCACCCTAACATCTGCATCTTCCCCCCATCTTATATGCCTTCCCTCACCCTCTCCTGCTAGTTTCTTCTCCCTCGGTTACCCCCTTTCCACTACCCCTCTCCCCACGTCCACTCACCTTCCGTTCTCTGCCCTCCGCGCCCTCCCTTGCTCTCTTCTCGCCCTCTCTTCCCCCTCTCAAGGCCCTCTCAACCACCGTTCCCCTTCTCCCCGCCATCCGTTCCCCCTCTTCCCGCCATCCTTTCCCCCTCTCCCCGCCATCCTTTCCCCCCTTCCCCGCCGTCCTTTCCCCCTCTCCCCGCCGTCCTTTCCCCCTCTCCCCGCCATCCTTTTCCCCTCTCCCCGCCGTCCGCCCCCCCTCTCTTTGCCATGCGTTTCCTCTCTTCTCGCTTTCCGTTCCCCCTCACTTCGCCTTTCGTCCCCCGTTTTCTCTGTGCTTTCCGTTTCCTCTCTCCTCGCCATCCGTCCCCCGTCTCCTCTCTCTCCTCCCTCTCTTCTCGCCATCCGTCCCCCGTCTCCTCTCTCTCCTCCCTCTCTCGTCGCCATCCGTCCCCCGTCTCCTCTCTCTCCTCCCTCACTTCTCGCCATCCGTCCCCCGTCTCCTCTCTCCTCCCTCTCTCGTCGCCATCCGTCCCCCGTCTCCTCTCTCTCCTCCCTCTCTCGTCGCCATCCGTCCCCCGTCTCCTCTTTCTCCTCCCTCTCTTCTCGCCATCCGTCCCCCGTCTCCTCTCTCCTCTCCCTCTCTCGTCGCCATCCGTCCCCCGTCTCCTCTCTCTCCTCCCTCTCTCGTCCGCCATCCGTCCCCCGTCTCCTCTCTCTTCTCCCTCTCTCGTCGCCATCCGTCCCCCGTCTCCTCTCTCTTCTCCCTCTCTCGTCGCCATCCATCCCCCGTCTCCTCTCTCTCCTCCCTCTCTCGTCGCCATCCGTCCCCCGTCTCCTCTCTCTCCTCCCTCTCTCCTCGCCATCCGTTCCCCCTCTCGTCGCCATCTCCCGCCTCTTCTCGCCACGTGTCTTTCTCTCGTCGCCATCCGTTCCCCCTCTCCTCGCTACGCATTCCCCCGATCTTCTCGCTATCCGAGGCCCAATCCCCTTGCGGGAGTGTTTCATGGCCCGTGCCATTTAATCTCCGGCTATATACCTCCGCTAGAGTCGTGGGGCCTAATGGCGGGTTTTTACAACAGTTTTTGTACGCGAACTTAGGCGGGCACTATGACTTGTACGCCGATCTTAGCTCGTCCCAATGTGCACGTCGGTATTACGCCCAAGGTATCATTTTCTTTAGGATAAAAAACCTTCCCCTCGTAGTGCTGGGAGTTGGTCGTCGATGGGCGGGCGGTTTCCTTTTTTTGACATGTGCTGTGGCAGCTATGGCTTCCTAAGCTTGACTGACTACGACATAATCTCCTCCTCCGAATCGTGAAGCACACCCATGGAGCTCTTGAACGACGGGCTTGAGGGTGGTAGTCGCATTCGACAAATTGTGCGACTTTCACACTTGTCGCACCGTGTTCCGCCGAAGTCGTTGATCAGTTTGGTGCGTCGTGGCCCTTTCGCTACGTTTCAAACTGTCGCAGCATGTTTTTTTTTCGTTTCGTTTAGTGTGTAGTGCTCGAGTCTGGGTCGTTTATTCTGACCCCCAAAAAGCTCAGTTTTCAAGAGCGCCCAGGGTGTGCTTTTCTAGCCTGTGGTTTTAAGCACTTGGACATAAAAGCCCTCCATATTGATTATCATACCTTTAGGTGACAATAGAACCCAAGAATTTGATACATTACCCAATAGCCAATAACCACCTCTACAAGTATGTTTAGCGAACTACATAGCCCACCTACATGTACCGCATTACACCCTATTCCTCTACCTTTACCTCACACACCCACCATCTCCCATCTCCATAACTGTCTGCAACCCTAAGCTCCTCACTTCCCCGCACCTTTACCTATACAATTCCCAAATCCTTCACCTTCCCATTCCTGTACACCCCATTTCCTGTTCCCTTCACCTTGCATTACCCATGCCCCTCCCATTCCTAACAATCGTCTCTCACCTTCCCACAACAATACCCTCGCTATTCCCGCACCCTCACCTTCCCATAATCCCATCCTCGCTATTCCCACACCCCTAACCTACCCATAACCATACCCTCCCCAATCCTACACCCTCACCTCCCATTCCTAACTCCTACCCATACCTTCCACCATCCTAACCTGGACCTCTCCCATGCCCAAACCTTCACCTGCCCTAACCCATACCTCTATGTTCCCTTAGTCCCAAACCCATTTACCTTCCTAACACTAACCATCCCTCTGCCCCCCTACCCCCCTCCACCCTCCCCCCTCCCTAACCTCCCTACCCTCCCTCCACTCCCGCCCCCTCCCTACCCTCCCCCCCCCCCCCCCCACACACTCCCGCCAACCCGCCCCCTCCCTACCCTCCCTCCTCTCCCCCCCACACACCCCTCCCAACCCGCCCCCCTCCACCCACCCCCCTTCCCCCAAAAAGCCTTTCCTGCAAAATCCTTCAATCCCTTTGAGCAACCAACCAGCACAGACCCTAGGACTCTGCTTGCCCCATCCCGCCAACTACAATCACGCATGACTCACCTACCACCACTGCTGTCGTTACCCAGATGCCTTCCTGCCCCACTCACCACAACAAACCCTTAGAGCCCCAGGTACACCACTCCACTGACCCACTGCTGTGCTTGCATTGCTTCTGCCGCTGGTGCTGTCGCTGCTGCCGCTGCTGTTGCTGCTGCCACCGATGCCGCTGCTGCTAGTAATCCTCGAATTGATGCATCTGAGGGCTGTTGCCGATGCTGCTGCTGCTGCTGTTGCTGCTATCATTGCTGGACCGAAGCATACTATCCTCACTCGAGCGAAGGATACTGCCCAGCTCACTGCCCGTCAAGGGAGAGCCCTCACTCGGGGAGGAGGAACAGGAGGCAGGGGAGGAGAAGAGCGAGGAGGAAGAGGCGTGCGCGCCCTTCTGGTGGTGCGAGAGCGAGATGGGAGGAGGCGAGGACGAGAGAGGGAGAGGAGGGGTGATAAGGAGCTCAGGAGAGTTGGAACCAGAGGAGAGGAGGCTGGGGGAAGGAGAGGGAGAAGGAGAGGGAGAAGGAGAGGTCAGGTTGGCGTTGAGGGAGAGAGGCGAGTCAGCAACGCAGCAAGTGGACACCGCAGGGGAAAAAACTCGCTGCTGCTGCTGGTGCTTCGGCTGGTGCTGCTGCTCCTGCTGCTGCTGCTTCTGCTGGTGCTGGAAATGGTGCTGGTGCTGGTTCTGCGCTCTGCTCAACGCCTCTGGCTCATAGAGCAGCAGTTGTGCGCTCTCCTTCCACGTCCTCTGCTGCTCTGTCCTTATCTTTTCCTGCCCCTCCCTCCACATGCGTTCCGTCCACGCACCACCTACCCTCTCACTGCCACTGCCAGCAACAGGCACTCTAGCCGCATCATCCAGCAGAGGTCTCCATCTTGCTCCCTCTACGCCGCTGTTTCTTCTCCTGCCTTGCCCCCTCCCTCTGCCGCCCGCTGCAGCAACAGCAGCAGCAGAAGAGCCGTTTGATTGATCCACGCTCCCAAACCGGTTCCAGACACCATCAGCACCCACGCTTCTCCTGCTCACCCTGCTGCTCTGCCTGCTGCCACTGCCACTGCTCCAGCTGCTGCGACTGCTGCCGCTGCTTTGTGCTGGAGATGCGGCATTTGAAAGCTGGATGGTCTGGGACGAAGGAGGCAGAACGAACGGAGGCAGCGGAGGCAGTGGCAATGCACGTGACCACTCCCGCTCACGCCCCAATCCCCCCCCCATTCCCCACGCTGCCAGTCAAAACTCCTCCCCCTGCCTCGTCCCCACCCCTTACCCCTGCCTCTCTCACCACCCCCCCTGCCCCTCGCCCAGCTCCTTCCATCATCAGCAAGAGCTTCCCCAGCATCCCTCAACGCCACGCCTCCTCCTCTCCCACCTCCTCTCCGTCCCCTCCCTCGTTGCCAGATGTCTCCCCTTCCCCCACCTCGTCCTCTACCTCCTCCTCCCCCTCCTCCCCCTCTTCCTCCTCCTCCTCCTCCTCCTCCTCCCCCCTCCTCCCCCTCCTCCTCCTCCTCCTCCTCCTCCTCCTCCTCCTCCTCCTCCTCCTCCTCCTCCTCCTCCTCCCCCTCCTCCTCCTCCTCCTCCTCCTCCTCCTCCTCCTGCTCCTCTTATTCCACTGCCCAAACAAGCAAGTCCATCCGTGCATGCCATACCTGGCATACACTCGTCATCCTCTCCCACCTTCCCCTCTCCCACCTTCCCCTCTCCCACCTTCCCCTCTGCCAACTCCCCTTCTCCCACCTTCGCATCTTCCACTCCCTCCTCCCCTTCCTCCTCCTCTCCCTCCTCCCCTTCCTCCTCCTCTCCCTCCTCCCCTTCCTCCTCCTCTCCCTCCTCCCCTTCCTCCTCCTCTCCCTCCTCCCCTTCCTCCTCCTCTCCCTCCTCCCCTTCCTCCTCCTCTCCCTTCTCCTCTCGCTCCCCCCCGTCCTCACAAGATGTCTCACCCTCCTCGCCCTTCCCCTCCTCGCCCTTCCCCTCCTCGCCCTTCCCCTCCTCGCCCTTCCCCTCCTTGCCCCCGCCCATCCCTCCCCCCTCCAACCCTCGCTCCGCGCTCCCCAGCCCCAGCCCCTCCCCCTCCCTTTCAGCCCCATCCATCCGCACAAGACTCCCAGCCACCTCAAGAGCAGTCAACTTGTGTTGCTCTGCCCTTCCCTCCTCACTCCCTCTCTCACTTCCTCCCCCCCCACAACCCTCCGCAATCCCCTCCCCTCCAGCCTTCTTCCCCCCTTCACTTGCACTCTCCCCAGGTCCCTCCTTCCCCGCACAAGCCCCACTGTCAAATCCCTTCAATTCAGCGCTCCCTCGCTCCTCCCCCTCATCATTCAGCGCCAGCTCAGCCTCTCCCAAGACGGCGACGGCGCCATTTCCGTCGCACACACTCGGCTTATCTTCCCCATCGTCCATTACCTCTTCCCCACCATTTCCCTCCGAGAACAAAGCGTTCAAGCCCTCGTCTTCAGCCTCGTCCTCATCCCTTCCGTTCTCTTCCGTCTCGTCTTCCTTTCGCTCGTCATCCCCCGCTTCCCTGCCGCCCTCCTTCCCTTGCCCTTCCTTTTCCCTTGGTTGCGCCTCTACTCTAACTTTCCCCTCACATGCACCACCCTCTTCTGCCTCCTCCTCCTCCCCGAGCTCGACACCCACCCCCTCTTCCACCTCTTCCACCTCTTCCGCCCACTCTTCCCGCTCTTCCATCCCTTCCCCATGCTGCCGCCCATGCTGCCGCCCATGCTGCTGCTGCCGCATCACCATCATGGCCATCAGCCGGCCCCGCATCGCCTCCCTCTCCCGCATCACCCCCACCAGCTTCACCGACACCGCGCCCACCATGCCACGCGCGCACGCCACGTCATCCTCCAGCGCGTGCCGCTCCGAATCCAGCTCAGCAACGGCCCGGTCCAGCTCAGCGATCCGCGCATACGCCGCCAGCAGCTGCAGCCGCAGGGACGCCACCTCCCTCCCCACCAGCGCCAGCTCCTGGATTCTCCTCTGCGCGTCCTCCAGGCTGGCGCGCAGCTGACCTGTCGTCTCCCGCCACGTGTCAAGCTCTAGGCTCATCGCTGCCATGCGGACGTTAGCGTTCTCGATCAATCGCCGCTCTTCTCGCTCCTTTGCTTTTGCCACGTCCGCCGTGTCTGCTGCGTCTGCTGTATCTTCTCCCTCCTCTCCCTCCTCTCCCTCTTCTCCCTCTGCTGCCTCTTCAGCCTCTGCTGCCTCTACTGCAACCCCTCCCACTTCCACTTCCTCGCTCTCCTCCGCAACTTTTGTTGCTCCTTCAACCTCCTTACTCGTAGGGGGAAGTGGAAGTTTCCTCGATATTCCAGATGCATCCAATCTCCGTGATTCTTGCTCCCGCTCCAGCTCAGCTCTCAGCTTCTCTGCCACGTGTCGCCAGCGCGTCGCCTCCGCGTCCAGCTCAGAATTCGACTTCTCCAGCTCAGCAATTCTCTGATTGGCCACATCCAGCTTGGACTGGATCTCCTCTCGGATCTGCACGCCACGTGACAGCCGCTCCACCATCTCCTCCACGGCATCCAGGTCAGCATCCACGTCAGCATCCACGCCGGCATCCGCGTCAGCATTCTCGCCTCGTGTCACCTCCACGGCGTTGCGTGTCATCTGCACCTCGAGAACGAGCGAGTTGACACGCTGCTGGGCTTGGGCGAGGGCGCGTTGCAGCCTGGCAACTTGTGCTGCCTCTGCTGCTTCTGCCGTCCCTGCCACCGCCCCTGCCTTGGGCACTGGCACTGACATTGGGATTGCCGTTGGCAATGACATTTCCAACGGCATTGGGAACGCGGGTGACGACTTGATACTATCCGCGTTGTCCTTCTCGCCTCTTCCATCTTCCCTCGCGTTCTTCTCTGCACAAGGTGCCTCGTTTTCGTCTCCCCCCATATCCTTCTCCTCCCCCTCCTCCCCCTCCTCCCCCTCCCCCCCCCCCCTCCGCCTCCTCCGCCGCCTCACTCACTGTCTCCGAGTCGTCATCCACTTCTCTCCCTTTTCTTGTGTGCCGCTCCTTGCCTTGCCTCCGCGCATCTCGACCGTCCGTTCGTCGCAGGCGAGCTGCCTGCCGCCGAAGCCGGTCGCCCCGCTCCTCGCTCCGCCCGCCGCCTTTCCGCTTCCCGCCGCACGCGCGGCGCTTCGGCCGAACGCCGCACAACATGGCGCGCAGAAGCTCCTGCCACAGTCACCACCGAAGATCCATGAAAAATCAGGAGCAATAGGGATGAAACAAGCGAGGGAAAGCGGAGAAGCGGCCAGCGGGAAGGGGGAGGAGGAGGGGGAGTGGTTGGGGGAGAGAGATGGAGGAGAGATAGGGTAACTCACGAGGCCGAAGCACGGTGGCATCTGGTTGGGGCAGTCTTTCTCCGCCGCCGCCGCGCGCGTCTGGCTCAGGGCCTCCACAGCCTTTTGCAGCAATCTCAATCTCAGCACCACCATCCCCGTTACACCCCGCCTCGCTACTGGAACAGCAAGTCCTGATGCAGCAGCGGCGGGGCGCACCGTCAGCGCCAGCGCCTTCCCCCCTGGGAGGAGCCTCGCAGCGGAGGGCGCGGAGGGCGCGGAGGGCGCGGAGAGCCCCTCGCGCCCCAGCGGAGGCGCCTTCGGTAGTAATATCGGTTGAACCGAAGGCACCTCGCCCCAGCGGCGCTGGCACGACCCGCCCGTCTTCCAACACGAGTCGTCTGCCGCTGAATCCGCTGCGACGGCTGCCGCCATTCCCGCCACCTCTCCCGCCGCCACTCCTGCCACCGATCCCGGCGCGAATTCCGCCGTTATCTCCGCTGCTAAATCTCCAAGACTCCTGTCGTCGGGATTACTAGTAGTCGCCGCATCGCCGTGGTCGCCATGGTAATCAGAAGATGATTGCTGACTTGTCGCTGCGGTGTCAACGAGCTGTTGATCCGCCATCGTCGCATTCGTCGCCATCGTCGTAGTCGTCGCCGTCGTCGCAGCCGTCGCCATCGTTGCCGTCGTCGCCATCGTCGCCTTCGTCGCTGTCGTCACTGTCGTCGCTCGTGCTGAGACTCCGCTCTCGCACTCGTCACCATGGTGACCGCGAGCGACGTCGCCTGATGGCGCGTGGACGACCACGTCAACGCTCTGCCGGCAGCGGTCAGTTGAAGGAACCGATTTATTCGATGGTGAGTCACCACCACCACCACCACCACCATCACCACCATCACCATCACCACCACGATCATTACCACCATCACCACCATCATCAGCGTAATGTGCATCGTCCTCCACACACCTCACGCCGTCTCGCCTGTGGTCGTCATCGCCATTGTCGCCCTCGGTGAACGAGCCGTTCCCGAACGAGCGACCCGCGCAATTACGACCGCTGGGATCGTGACACATGGCGGTAGGACGCCACTTGGCAAGCGGAAGAGTGGCAGCCACATCATCAGCAAGAACAGCTGGCGCAGGGGCAGCTGGCGCAGGGGCAGCTGGCGCAGGAGCAGCTGGCGCAGGAGCAGCTGGCGCAGGAGGCGGCGCAGCAGCTGCAGTGACGCCCATATCAGGTGCACCTGCTGTTCCAGCGGCCACAGGAGGAGCACCACCAGGTAACGGACTCCGATTGCCCGCTGTCGACTCAAACGCTTCGGACAGGTCACCGTCACGTTCCGAATGGCGATTGCTACAGGCGCCACAACGTGTCGGACCTGAGGTAGCATAGATCCCATCCGACGACTCGGACTCGTCGTTCCACGAAGCAGCTCTCGATATGCGACGTTCAGCAGCCGGCGGCGCAGCAACGGCAACAGCAACAGCAACAGCACCAGCACCAGCAGGCGGAGTCTCGACGGCTTTAGCAGAACCTTCCGCGCGAGACTCCGGAATCGGCGGTGCGGGAGTCGTCCCGCGGCCCGTGGTGCCTGCTATCGCAGTTCTCGCCACCTTGGCAGCGCGACTGACGCCTCGCAAAACCTTCCGCGCGAGGCGCCGGAGTTGGTGCGCGAGGTTTTGGCGATCCCGCAACTTCATGCTCGTCTCTATCGTCTCCCTCTTCTCCCTCTTCTCGCTCTTTCCCATTCTCAGTAAGTCAACAACGCTCTGCGGCTCCGTTTCTTCTACAGGGGCTGGCGCGCCCCTGGTTTTGCTTCTGCAACCTTCTCTCTGCTCGTTCCTCATTGTGGGTTCACGGAATTCGCGCTCATCGCAAAACAAAGCTCGAGCTTTTGAACCTTTCTTATGACTTCCTACTCACTCACGCACTCCTATTTGACGAATTGAGATTCTGTGTGCAGTCGAGTGGAACTAGACAAACACGATGGAGAGTGGGGCTTTGATTGTGAGATGTCATGGTTGCGTGTTTCTGTGTTTCCCAAAACGCCCCGAACAACCAGGGTCGAAGGGAAGGGAACGAGGGGCGAATTTGCTCGAGAGGGGCGAATTCGCTCGTACGTTCATCACTTAGGGAACCTCCGAAGCGCCTCGTTCCCCTGATTTGGCTTGACTCGCTCGTCATTGGTTGGAATGGCATGACCGAAATATTTCCCGTGACGCTCTGCCCGAGTCAGCTGCCAGCAGCACGGTCAGCCCGGAACAAGCGCCTCGTCTGCGCGGTGACGCGCTGACCATGTGGCGGCGACGTGGCTGGGTGGCAGGCTAGGTTGTGCATTTGTGGCTGAGAGGGCTAATATGAACGTGGCGTGACAAAATGATTGGTGCAGGGCAAAGGTCCTGAGTAGAACTTCGGGGAATTCAGGGGCTCCAAACGTACTCCCGCCAGGTGAATCGAAGGGCGGATCGTCGATCTGGGCGGCCTGACAAACCTGGAGGAACTTATGCGGCTCGGAAGGAGGTCAGGCTAAACTCAGGGTCAGGTCAGGTGAATGTCGTCAGCCTGGAGACTCGAAGACCAGCGTCCGCGTTAGAAGTGTCGACAGTACAGCAAGGTCGTTTCACGTAATAGCGATACACGAAACAAAACGGGATCCAGTGAGGTAATTCAGGTCAACCACATGATTAACATTATGAAATCACAAGTTACAAGTATAGGTTCTCCATGCGAGAGCACATAGCTGGTATTGGAGGCAATCTCAAGTTACAAAAGTTGCGAACAAGCCAGAACCGAGGATAATTTGGACAACCATGCCCAGTCGATTCCTTTTCCCCCACCAACAGAGACCATGCTGTCTAACCAGTTGCACTCTTCGGAATCTCGAGTACTCGTTTCACGACTCTATTCACGCAGGGGTATAGCACTGCAGCGCTGGTTGCGGCTCCTGGAACCCTAAAGATACAGTACCCTCGTCCCTTCTTGCTCCGCTCAGCTCTATCCCTCATAGCGGCGATGACCGCTCGTCGCGTGGACACCTCGAGACTGCTCCGCCTAGCGTTACAGCTTCGCCTGCTGCCACGTGGCGCACAACAGCCTGTCCCCTTCCCGCTCCCACGTAGCACCGGTAGCCAGAACCATAATCAGTGCGATACGCGTTCTGAAGCGCTCAGCGGTCCTCCAGTCTCCAGCCAGCGCGACAATCTGTTTGCTCCGCTCAAAGCACCTCCGCTTCCCAGTCAGCGCTCGAGACTCTTCACCAGCATCAGCAGCAGCAGCAATGGCAGTAGCTGTAGCGGGAGAGGAAACAATGGGGGCGGACAGCAGCAGCACCGAGAGCAGCAGCAGCAGGAGCGGCAGGGCGAGGCGCGAGAGCAGGCGCGCGAGCAGGCGCGAGAGTGGACATTGAAAGACGCCTTACGGCAGCTGTACAAGCGAGTGCACCCCGATACACTCCACAACCACCCGCACGAACGAGTGAGCCGGGCTGAACAATGGCTGGCCCACGTGGCATCTTCCGCTGCTCACTGCGATCGCCCTTCGCCCTCTTGCTGCTCTTCACTTCCCTCTTCCTGCTGCCGCATTTCCTGCTGCCGCATTTCCTGCTGCCGCATTTCCTGCTGCCGCATTTCCTGCTGCCGCATTTCCTGCTGCCGCATGTCCTGCTGCCGCATTTCCTGCTGCCGCATTTCCTGCTGCCGCATTTCCTGCTGCCGCATTTCCTGCTGCCGCATTTCCTGCTGCCGCATTTCCTGCTGCCGCATGTCCTGCTGCCGCATGTCCTGCTGCCGCATTTCCTGCTGCCGCATGTCCTGCTGCCGCATTTCCTGCTGCCGCATTTCCTGCTGCCGCATTTCCTGCTGCCGCATTTCCTGCTGCCGCATTTCCTGCTGCCGCATTTCCTGCTGCCGCATTTCCTGCTGCCGCATTTCCTGCTGCCGCATTTTAACCGCACGAGACCACATTTTAAACTCAACCGCATGAAACCGCATTTTATAACTCAACCGCATTTCCTGTCATACTTTCCCCTCCCACCGTTCTCCATTCTCCCCATCCTTCCCGCCCCCCTTCCCCCTCCCCCCTTCACACACACCTACACACTAGACCCCCTTTTCCTTCAGGCAGCCAACGAGCGGTCGTTCCAGCTGCTACAGGAGTACGGAGGGTATCTTTGAGAATTCTCTAAAATACCCCACGCTCTCTACCGCGCTCTCTCTACCCCGCTATCTCTACCGCGCCCTCTCTACCTCGCTCTCTCTACCGCGCTCTCTCTACCGCGCTCTCTCTACCTCGCTCTCTCTACCGCGCTCTCTCTACCGCGCTCTCTCTACCTCGCTCTCTCTACCGCGCTCTCTCTACCGCGCTCTCTCTACCTCGCTCTCTCTACCGCGCTCTCTCTACCGCGCTCTCTCTACCTCGCTCTCTCTACCGCGCTCTCTCTACCGCGCTCTCTCTACCGCGCTCTCTCTACCGCGCTCTCTCGACCCCCTTCTCCTTCAGGCGGCCAACGAGCGCTCGTTCCAGCTGCTACAGGAGTACCTGGCAGTGGCGCACATCACAGGGGCTGGCAGCAGGGCCAGCGGTGCCAGTGCTGGGGGGGCGGCGGCAGCAGCAGCAGCAGCAGCGCGCCGGTCCTTTGAGTTTGAGTTCTTTATCCGGGAAGAAATCAGCAGCAGCAGGAGGAGTGGTGTTAACACCACCGCCAGCAGCAGCAGCGGCAGCGGCAATGGCAGTGGCAGAGGGAGCGGCATCGGCAGTGCAACGGTTCTATTCCGGCACGTCACTATGGCCCTCCCTCCCCCTCAGCGCCCGCGTGTGATGGGCGGGTCCATCCCTCTGCGCACGCGCATGGCTCTCTCGCAGCTCCTCGACGCCTGTGGCCTTCCGCCCCACCTCACCAACACCCTCGCCTCTGCCACTGCCAGTGCCGGTGCTGGTGGTGCTGGTGCTGGTGCTGGCGGTATGGGTGGTGGTGAGGGTGTGCGGCTGTCGGAGGTGTTGGTAGAAGCTGCTGAGATCCAGAGGCAGTGTGAGGCAGGCTGGACGGATGGAGGGGCTTGGAATGGGGCGCCTGATAGTCACAGCAGTTTCAGCAGCAGCAGCAGCGGCGGCGGCGGCGGCGGCAGAGGCAGCAGCAGCAGCAGCAGAGTGAGCAGTTTGGTTCGGGACCGGGCTATGATGGTCCACGTGCTGCGGATGGTGCGAGGCGTCACTGTTCACTTCGACCAATCACAATACCACGCATCGCCACCATCACCAGCAGCAGCAGGTGCCTCTTCTTTGGGTTCCTTAGACCCCCAATACCAGGAGGTGCTACTGCTGGAGCAGCTCATTAAAGCCCTTGACCGCACCCCCGACACCAACCTGTCGGGGAGCCAAGTCGTGATAGGAGCGGGCCGGTACAGGATCGACTCCCAGGGCCGGGTGTGGCTGAAGCAGGGCGACGAACTGGGGAGATGGGCGGAGTGGCTAGCAAGGGTAGATACAGAGGTGATCCAGAAGAAGAGGGAGTGGGCGCTGGAGCGGCGTGTGAAAGAGAGAGCAGCGGCGTGCGGCATGGAGGTGGAAATGGTGTTTACGGATGCGCTCACGGCGGAGGGGCAGGCATGCGCGTATGATGGGTTTTTGCAGCGGATGGTAGAGCAGGCGGAGGAGCATGGGGCTGTGTGCGGCGGCCGGCTTTTTGAGCTGCCCGTGCGTGTTGTCGGGCAGCCGGAGGGCCAGATTGACGCAGGAGAGAGAGGAGGAGGAGGAGGGGAAGGAGGGGGAAGAGCAGGAGGAGAATGGCTTCTGGATGGAGGGGGGCTGCCTTTCTGGAGTGGAGATCGGTTCCACCATCAAGACCCCACCTTCTCAGCTTCGTTCTCCTCCTCTTCGTCTGCTTCTCACACTCCCCGCGCCGCCCTCCACCCTCTAGAATTCACCATAGACCGCTGCTTCGGCTACGCAGCAGTACCTATCACAGCCACAGGCAGGCAAGTGTATGAGTTCCTATCCCGGGCGGGCGCGGACGCTATGGCCATCCGACGGCTAGCGAGAGAGGAGGAACGCAGGCTTGAGCAGCTGAGAGCAGAGGTGCGGCAGCGGTTGAAGCTGCGGCGGCTGGCGGTGGACGAGGCTCGGATCACGAGGGATCAAGCGGCGTCGGGGTTCCTGCGCTTGCTGAGGTTTGCGGCGAAGCTTGCGCCGTTGACGGAGGGCCTGTCGCTGTGTGTGTCCGATGCGCACCGCCTGCCCCTGCCGCATGGGGGGGAGTATGCTCCTCCTTCTGCTGGGTATACGGATCGCTCGCATGGTGCGGGCAGTGCTGGTCGTGCTGATAGTGCTGCTGGTGCTGCTGGTTCTGGGAGGAATGGGAGAGCGCGGGAGCAGGAGTGGGAGAGCAGCGGAGTGCCGTTTGTGCACGTGAAGTGGAACTTCAGCGCGGGCGAGCTGTAGGCGGTGGGAGGGAGGGGACAAACACGGATGGGCAAGAATGTGAGGAGACGCACTAGTTTCCATTTGGTGTGGAGCGGGGGTTGGGTGGGTGGCTGGGGGGAGGGAGGGTGTAGTGGAATGGAGAAAGGGGAGGCGTGGTAATGGTACAGGCACAAAGCAAACGCAGCAGCAGGTGCTTTCTGAAAGCGGGCGAATTTTGAAAGGCTGGACGGATGCGATACGAACCGCACTGGAACAGAAGGCAGTGACACGAGCCAAGGAACGAGAGGACGAGGGGACTAGAGTTTGAGAGGACAATACAGCACCTAATCCAACTTAGTACGCTTCGGAATTGGTTGCATTATAACGTATAAAACGTACAGATAAGCATTAACAGCAAGGGCTACTGTATTACTAAACGAGGCCAGGAATCTATAGAATGGTGAGTATGTACATCAGTGAGCACAAGCAGGTTTAAAAAGCGGACAAATCACTGATACTGATAAGGTATCGATACATGTGATGTGACTATAGGTGCAGGTCCAAGTCCAGTGAACACGCAACAAAAGGACTCCCTCCAGCACACGCCCAGGTGCTCCTCCTGCTTGCCTCTCCACCTCCTCCCATCCAGTCATGCACCCTCTCTCCCCTGCCACAAGCAGTAGCAGCAGCAGCAGCAGCAGCAGCAGCAGCAGCAGCAGCTGCAGGAGCAGCAGAAGCAGCAGCAGCATGAGTGGAAGGTATCTCCCCAGAGCACATCATGCGCAGCTCAGTATCGCACTCCATGTCAGCCTCTCCCCCATCTCCACGTGCGCTCGCATTCGTTACCGCATCAGCAGAAGTGAGGCCAGGTGCGGTAACAGCAGGTGTCGTAACAGCAGGTGCGGTAACAGCAGGCGCAGTAACAGCAGGTGCGGCAGCACAGGGAGCCATGGAGGAAGAGGTATGTTGTGTTGGCTGCTTGTCAGAAGCAAGGGAGGCGGAGGGGTGTGTGGTTGCGGTGGCGCTGCTGGCAACCCTGCTGCCGGTAACCTTCTCATTTGTAACCTTATCTCTTGTATCCTTACAGGTGGTAACCTTGCTGCTGGTAGAGGTGGTGGGAGTGGATCTTTGTGGGCTGAGCCTCGAGCAGCCTAGCGCCGAGTGCGGCATGCGCAGCAAATGCACCGCACCACCAGGCCCACCAGCAGAACCGCCACCACCCGCAGCACCACTGTCTCCACTACCACATGCCTCTGCTGCCGCTGGTGCTGCTGCAGGGGTGCAAGCTTTTGCTGAGGCGGGCACAAGGGCAGGAGAGGATAACACCAGCGCACCACCAGCAGGTGTATGGTTTGCAGAGCGAGGCGTGGAGAGCAGCAGGCGCGAGAGCATGGAGGAGCACTCTGCCGTCTGCGCACAGTGCTCTGCCAAACCAGCAGCAACCGGAGCAGCAGCTACAACCGCAGCACCAGCGGCAGCAGCGGCAGTTGGAATGGTCTCCGGTGCCGCCTCTGGATTAGGAGCCACCACAGGCTCCACTGCCTCTGCAGCAGCAGCCGCCATAGCCACAGCCGTGGCCGCTGCTGTTGCTGTTGCTGTTGCTGTTGCTGTTGCTGTTGCTGCGTCCATAGTATCGTCCCCGCCATGTGGTGGCGCATCCATCATCACGAGGTCGTCCGCAGCAGCCGCGGCAGCAGACAGGATGGACGAGGCCGTGGGAAGGGACGCCCACCTGCGAAGCGGGCTTGAATTCGCACCCTGCAGCAGCACATGTGCAGGGATGGCCACAGGAAGAGTGCCTTCAGGAGTGGCTCCAGGTGTGGTTCTAGGGGAGTCAAATCCGGATCCAATGCCTGCCGCCATTGCTGCTGCTGCTGCTTCTGCCAGCTCTCCCAACTGCGAGTGCTGCCGCCGCCGCCGCTGCCTGCCCTTGTTTCTGAAGCCTGAAGGATCTTGGCTGGTAGCAGCAGAAGCAGCAGCAGTCATAGCTGCAGTAATACCAGTGCCAGCGCCAATGCTGCCAGAGCTGCTGAGCCTACTCCCCGGCGCTGTAGCAGCTACAGACGCAGCACCACCCTCTCTTACGCCAGCAGCGGCAGCAGCAGCAGCAGCAGTAGAGGAGGCGCAGGAGGGGAAAGTTCCAGCAAAGTCCATTCCACTTGAGCCGCGGTGCTTCTTTGCTGGGGACAGCAGTGCGCCCTCCTGCCCTTCGCCCTGCCGCCCGTCCTTCCCTGCTCTTGCCGGCCACAGGGCGTGCAGCGAGTCGGGCGGCAGACTGAGCGTGCGGCGAGACGCGAGCAGCTCGTTGGGGAGCGCGAGTCGCGGAGGGGCTGGCATGGCACCATTGCTAGTAACCCCATGGTTACCACCAGAAGTAACCACCATCTGCATCATCTGCGGCATCTGCAACATGCGTGCCATCTGTGCCACGTCTGACATTTCGGCCATCTCCGTCGTTTCTTCTCCCATCATGCCCGTCGTCCCCACAGGTAGCGACGACCATCTCTGCAGCCCACCTCCGCCTCCGCTTCCGCCGCCGCCGCCGCGGCCTAAGCTTAGCGACACCATGTGGCGCGGCAATCCCGTGAGGTGAAACGGCGGCGCGTCCCCAGCAGGCGCCGCCGTAGCGGCCACAGCAGAGGCGTTCGCTGCCGCGTCCGCCGCCTCCTTAGCTTCCCCGCGCTCCCGGCGTTGCGCTAGCTGTCGCTCCGTCTCCCGCTGCAAGCGCGCTAACAGCTCCCGCTCCGCCTGCTTCGCGAGCCGCAGTCTCATCATCTGCCGATGCTGCTGCGCGCCTGCCGCCGCTGCTGCCGCCGCCGCTGCTGATGCGGACGCAGACGCGGACTGCCCTCCATTTCGCAACCAGGGACCCGTCATAACCATCTTTTCCCAACAAGGCGCCGCTGCCACGGCGGCCGCAGCTGCCACGTCAGCGGACGAGCACATCCTACCAGCGGCCGCCAGTTGGCTCAACCCGTGATAATGGCTCAGCCCTGGGTGACGCCAATTTCCCGCAGCCGCCGCAGCGCCGCCGAGCATCGAGAACGAGCCGCCCGCCGCGGTATTCGCCGCGCCTCCGGATTGAGATTGGCTCGGCGCGCTGCTCCCGCTCGCTCCGCCGCTGCTGTTGGCCGAATTAGTCGCGGCGACCCCGCCGCCGCCGTCGCCGCCGCCGCCGCGAGGAGCGGCGTTGTAAGAAGGGTATTCAAGGCTCCGGTTTAACTCTGCGACTACCTCGTCCAATCCTTTCCGCTTCTGGCCGTTTGGGGCATTCTCCGCTGCTGCTACTAGTAACCCCCTCGGCGTGCCGGCCGCATCTCCCGCGGGATTCCCGTCGCCGGCGTCGCTGTCGGTGCCGCTGCTTCTCTTACCTTCTGACGAGTTAGAAGGGGACGTCGCGGCGTCCGTGTTGTTAGTAGTACGGCGATGCAGTCTCGAATGCTGATTGGCAGCCGCCGCCGCCGCCGCCGGCGATTGGAACATCATGTTGGAGAATACATGCTGATTGTGATTGCCGCCGCCGCTGACCGTCGGATCGACGGGGAGCGGCGTAATCCATGGCGGAAGAGTTGACGCGGCGGCGGCGGCGGGTGCAGCCGCGACAGGTAGCAGCATCTCGGATTCGCTGGCCGGAAAAAACGCCGCTGGCGGCCGCACGCCGCCGACTGCGCTGGTGACGGACCCGATAGCGAGGGCGATGTCGCGAGGAACTTCAAATTGAGGGTGCGGCAGAGGAAGGGACGAGGCGGCGTCTGGCTGCGTGTGCGACGCGAGGGCTAGGGCTTGAAGGTGCGCCGGATAGTGAGTTAAACGGTGCTGGTGCTGAGACTGGCGCGATCGCGCGGCGATGGAATACGGGGTTTTTGACGCGGGTTTTGTTATCGTGACTGATGCTCTCGACTTGGCCATTTTCTTCTATTACTGTCACAGTGAAGTAGGACTGAACGAGCGAGTTCAGAAGCTATGTTGAGGCGCGGCGAATTTTGAAGGCTAAAGAATAGGCCGTTTCACTTTCTTGTTTACAGGCCCCGAGGGTAGGACTCTCGACTGGATTCAGGACGACGACTCGAAATCTGCAGCGTAAGCGGACTCGAAAGACTCAGTTTGGAGCTGAGAGGCACTCGGGCTGTTTCACCTCAACCACCGTCTTGCTCTCAAAACATCGAGTTGTTTTTCTGACGAAATTGCGGCTCGGCGCAAGGGTAGACGCGCTGGGATTGAATAGTGGACTGGCAGGAAGGCTGCTGGAAGGCGCGAGCGTGGTCAGGAGCGTTGGCTGGCAGCCGAAGGGATGGCCCAGGCCAGGGCCAGCCCAAAGTTTCTAGCGTCAGCTCAGGACAGAATGAGATTACGTGGGGTTGCCGAACTAATTACGGCACGTGAAATAGCAGTAAGAAAGCAAACCACTGACGAGGAGGGAGGGTCAAGCGAGAATTGGTGGGTTGGTTGGTTGGGGCGAAGGGGGAGACATTCACTGTACTCGTCGTGACATTCTGCAGGTTGATTGATTTACCGACGAGACGAGACGACACTCCCCGAGCCACGCGCAGCTGGATCTGCGTATGTCATCATTCAAAATTGATCCAGCTGGCTGGAAACCCGAGGGTGCAGTTTCTTTTTCCCCGGGTTACTGTAGTCGAATTGAGGAAAGCCTGCCAATTTCGTTGGGGTTGCTGTGAAACTGTGACCCGGACCGGACCGAACCGAACTATCCCGCCGCAACCACACGTTTTGTTCAGTCGGTGGGTGCCTGTGGGAGGGGCTGGCCGACGTGGGACCATCGAACCAAATCGTTGTGAGAGCAGTCAGACAAGCTCAGGTTGAAGCAAGTGCCAGCTGGACAACACGAGGGCAGCTGGTGGTGAAAGCGACCGACACATCGACGGGCCGGTTGCGGGTTGCGGGTTTTGTGGTTGTCATGTGTGCTGTGTTTCTCACTGTGGTACATGAAGGCATGAATGCGGGATCACGAATCACGAGGGCAAGAATCAGGCCACTATATGTTTTGGGGCACCCAGCCAGACCCGAGCAGGGACAGAGCGATACCCTGCCACTGCCTGGTGGAGGGTCCGCTAGTTGTCAAGATTTCTCCTGAAACCACATACGAAAACACATCCACAATATGTCGCGTACGAAAACGCATTGTTACGGTGAACCACTACGCCAATTTTACAGCCAACAACTGGGGCTTATGTTGGCGCTGAAAAATTAACTTAGCCAGGAGAAATCACCTCTCAGAAAGCCATTACGGACTCGGCGCACGCAGAGTGTCAGTTTTATTCGGGTAAATATTGATCCTGGACTGAATGGGAAGGGCGACACCAGCTTCGCACTCTCCATTTCCAGCCTTACCTGAGAAGTTACTACTGTATGAGTAAGAACACCCTGACTTCCTCAGGCCAGGCAGGAATGCGTGTGGGGCTGATGAGCAGGGCCGCCAGTGTCGTGTCATCCGCGAGTGTCGTCCAAAATTTGCCTGTAAGCTAGGTTCGGCATAGGGTATTCCGTAAGGTCACGGAATCAGCCGCGAAAATACCGGTTAGCGGACGGAATCGCCGGTTACCGGTTACCGGTTAGCATACGGATTCGTCGACGACCTACTCTTGGTTTGATACTAACATCCTTGAATGCAAATGGCCTTGGCCGTGGCTACGGAAAATCCATCGAAACCCCAGGGACTGTTTCTCGCGCATACACCGCCTGAGGCAGTTGGAAGAGTAGAAAGGCTTCCGGGAACTAACCTCGCGCTTTGCTTAGTAGAGGAACTTTTGGAAAAGTAGAGGGGAGGGTGGAAAGGGGTGATACACCACTATGAACAGATCTACTACAAATGCACTTAGTACGGAATCAAAGAAAAGTATCCGTAATGTCAAGGAATCACACGAAAAGTAATCCGTTGGGCAGACGGAAAACAAACGTTTACTAAGCGAAAAACGGAATCAGGTCGGAAACAACTCCTAATCTCGCGACATGAAGGGTAGTTAACCTGTTAGCCAGAGCCCTGCTGATGAGGCCAGTGTACACCTGAATTCCGACACTGAAACACAGTGTTTGCGAGTCGCAAAAAATGTATCTGGACAAGAATATGTATCAGGGAGAATCCAATGGAGACTGAATTGAGCACCACATTTTGAGGACGCCAGGTGTACTGTCCACTGCCGAACCAGCTCTGGGTTTCCACGGGCAGAATATGAATTTTACTGGTCATAACATCATGCTCTACAAAATTTCGCAGTCCTATGAACGAAACGAAATGGGTTATGTTAATATAGCTGTAACAAATTCTGAACCTGTTACGTGAATATTTACAGTATTAGCCAAAGATGTGGACTTGTCGAAATGCTTATAGGAAACGTTAGTTTATGCTGAGTTTAGGCCCAATGCCAAGGGTGTGTCAAAATCCACAGCTTCTGTTGCAATGCCTGGCTTCCCCTTGTTGCACACATACAGCACTGTAGTAACCAACGCCGGTTGGTTTCGCGTTGACCCTCCCTGCGAAGCAAAAGCGAAGGGACCTGTGGCTGGCAGTGCATTTATGCACGCTTCCAAACCGCGTACATTCCACGGCAGCATTTCTAGGGGCCAGGTCACTGACATGTCAGAGTGTGTAGTGAAGGACTGCGTAGCCTTGACCCGTGCTCTTGCGGAAGTGAGAAGGGCAAAGAAGGCGTGTTCAGAGTAGCAATTCGTCGAGTTTCCCGACCAATAGAGTTTTCAGATATTTTCAGGGCAGAAACGTCTTCAGAGTGTCACGACAGAACCCGGACGATGTCGGGAAAATTACACCGTCACAAGGGGAATATTGTACCATTGCCCCAAAATATTTTGGCGCGACTCGCCAGCGCAGCTGAGATATCCGAGTAACTCCCGCACGATTGGGCCCTCATTGCAGTGTCGCTGGGACTCTGCCCAGTGATATATGACCAGCGTCTTGTTCAGGCCGCACCTTTGTGTCTCAAACGCCAAACTGGCCCTGACAGGACCTGGCAGAAACATGCTAGAACACAAAACGGACCTGAACGGACCTGGAACAGTGCGCAAGGGATATATATCCGAATAAATGACAGCCATAACCTTTTAAAACCGCGGTACACATTCAACAAAATTCTGATTAAGTGATAAACATTTGAAAGAGGGTTACTGGGTTGTTTCTTCCTCTGAAGTTGTGATCTCGCCAGCCTAGGTAAACCTTTGACAGAGCCGATGTGGCAATTGTGTACTGAAATTCCCACAATCACGCAGGGGAGTTTTGCCCCGTCACACCCCTTCCGATTTCCCCCCCTTCCATGATTTCGTTCCCCCCACCCCACACCATTCCGACACTTTCCCCACAGCCCCGTTCCCCTCCTCCCCTCGCAATTCTGAATCTTTCCCTACAAGTCAAATTCGTTTCCCCAACCCTCGCAATTTCAGACTCCCCCCCTTCCCCCCCCCCCACCCCCCTCCCGCCCTCTCCCCCCCCCAATACAATTCCGTTTCCCCCTAACCCTCGGAATTCTTTCCCCCATTCCAACTCCCTCCCCCACGCAATTCTGGTTCCCCCCAACCCTCGCAAGTCTATTTCCCCCCCACGCAATTTTGTTCCCACATTTACGAAAGTCCCCCCCATTTCGCATCATGTTTTCCTGTCGCCTCTCGTCCTCCAATCATCTAAGCCCCCTTTTCTTGACCTCTGCATTGCCACCCCAAGCCGCGTTAAATGTGTAACGCGGCTTTAATCCCTACCGAAACCTCCCAACATCCCGCCAGCGACTGTCATTTTTCGCACGCATCGTCGTGCGACGGTAACGAGATCGTACAAGGACTCGCTCCTCGTCGCTGGCGTCATGGGGTGAGATCTCTTTTTGCTGATCATTGATGTCGTGACTCTTGAACCCCTACAGTGCAGGTCCGTGTTATTAAAGGCCACTATGTAATCATTTAGAGTTACTTTGAAGGTTTTCGTTAAAAAGGTCTATTGAATTTGTTGGGCTGAGAAAAAGCCTTAGGATCTTTTCAGAGACTACGTCCCACTTGTACAAAACGCCTGTGTAGTGCAGCGGAAGTGTTGAGTAGTTGAACCCTTGCACTAGTATGTGAGAGCAAGTGATTGATTAAAAGAAACAAGCATACAGCAATATATAGAAAATAAGAAATGAAGCAGTTGTAGAATACAGTTGAAGGAACGGTTATCCAGTTGCACAGCGACTCGATTGTCGGTTCGGTTACCACCCTTGCAGTCGCAACGGTCAATCGCAACCTCCAGTTGCGACCCTTCGAGTTCCTTCGCCCTTTCGTATTCTTTCGTCCAACCTCCTCGTGTAACCTCCGTTGACTAGAGTACCCGATATGACTTTCCTCGAGTGTAGTGTTACACTTCAGAAACGCTTAAGTCTTCGAGGTATGTCCAACAGAATTGCCCCTAATTTTGCAAATCCCTTTTCCGGAAGTCAGTTAGCAAAACCACCCTCACAAGGTGTCCTCCCAATTCATATGCTATGTTTTTGAGTTGTTTCCCTGTTTACCAAAATTGCAGCATCACGCAGTTGAGGTGGTAGAAAAGAGGCCACGCATACTATCTACTCCCATTCTCTGGCTTAGGGTCAGAGGTGTGTCAAACAACTGCATTTTCTTATTGGATTTTGATTGTTCCAATATTAGCATGGCTCCTAGAATTCTTCTCCTTGACAAATGTTCCTCTCTGAGAGTTCAATTCGTTGTGATAAGGGGCATACAAGGGGGACCATACACCTTGATAATCTTAGCATAGAAATGATTGACTAGAATGAGGTGGTACAAGGATATATAGCCTAAGGGGTTGTACTCTATATGAGCATCCAGCTAGCTAGCCTATAACATATACAAATTATATGTTGACACACCCCCTAGGCTGGACAAGGGGCAGCGACTAACACGAGACACGGAGCTGAAGGTGGCACTATTAGTCCAACCTCTGAGGCAAGGGCCCGAAGACCAGTCAGCAAGAGTACAAAAGAAAAAGGAGTAACCCAAGGCAGCACTACTAGTCGGGCTACTGGAACAAGAGCCACAAGGTGAGTCAAGATAACATAAGGGGTAGTACACATTCAGGGTCCTAGCAAGTGAGAAGCTACAGGAACTAGACCAAGCTGTAAACAATGCTGCTGTTGATTTTTGGGCGCAAGGTCCTTCGTAAAGATATAAGCTGTCTTGGCACCGGAGGCCAAGTGAACTACGTGAGCCTAGCAGCGCTGCTGTAGCTCGCGCAGAAGGAAGTACTGCAGCTGAATGTGCTTTGCTCTGCCCTAAAGTCGAGGCTCCTAACACTGGAGGATCATGGCCTTGTTGTCAGCGTACAGGACCGGGGCAGAGCTAGGCCGCTCA